TACTTCCACCCCTTACTGCAAGATAGACTCCCAGAATATGCCGTGTCGTGACAAGGCGGGGTCTGGGCATCAGAAGCTTTGAACTTTGAAGTACTGTACTGTACACCATGAAAATGGATCCACTGCAAGTTAGCGTTCAGGACCCTCAGGTACTTGTACAGCATTGTACCATGTCGTAAAATGAGCCAGTAGGAGGGAAGAGAGGGGAAGGGAAGGGGTAGAAGCCCACCGGCCTAGCCCTTCAAAGCCCCGTCGCACGGATACTCGTAAAGGGTCCATCTGGCTTCTCCAAGCCTTAAGTTACCTATCATATCAAATTCCCGGGGCTATCCGGCCCTTCCCTTTATTCCTGAATTTCACATTATTTTAGTGTGCGGACTACTGCAGCCAAATCAATCAGCGTCGATTCAGCCACCCTCCACAACAGCGAAGCATTCCCGTCTGGTGCATTTCTACCGGTGCTGTACGAGTACTTGTATTCGAAATTCAATTTCTTAAACTCGTGAGGCTTTCCACTCGTACAGTACCGGTAGTCGAGTTTGCAGTCTGGAACACTAGCCCGCCCGAGTGATCATAGCCACATTTACCACTAAAGCCCTACTTTGAGTTGTTTTAGTGACGATCATGCTGAGCAGTGGCTTTGTTCTGGTGGTCCGGCACTGCAGCCTTACCAAGGCACCAAAGTATCTTCCATCCTGACTACTGACGTAACCTAAGTTGGTGTTTCTGGATTGCAATCTGGACCGGAAAGTCATCCACTTCGGGAATAACCCAATCAGGTTCAACCAAAAACTGCTTTTTTAACGTTTCTGCTCTCGTAGTCTTGCTCACCCACCAAGACGGCACGAGGAATTCGAAAACAAAGCAAGGGATGGCAGCGATTGCCGTCGTGGTCACAATATGCCTGCTAGCGGCAACAACGCAACAACCGACAGGGAGACGGTGCGTTTGTCAAATATGGCTGGCGGCAGGTGGTTTGTTTGTTAGCTCGGGTTCTGTGCAGGTGCTCGGGCTTGGAGGCCTAAATATGAAGTGAGGGGGGGGGGGGTGCTGTACTCGAGTACGAGTACTTGTAAAGGTGGGGATGTGTGGTCCTGGCGGGACCCGTCAGCCAGGTACCCGGTCATGAACAGAGAGTTTGAGTCCCACCGGTAATCTGACCATGTTAAGCGACGAACGGGTGACTGGGGGGCAGGTACTGCCTCGCACTCCACCGGGAGATCGGAGATATGAAACAGCTTTCAAGCGGTTTATATATACAGCATTTTGAAAGTACCGTAAAAACTCTTGGTTTAGCTTGACAGGTTAGCAAAATTGCGAATACCGGTTAACGAGATCCAACCCATCCAGTGGGCTGATCTTTCGCTGTTCCAGGAAAACGCTAGTCCTTCTTGGGGGTTTTTGTGCCGCAATCCGAAGATTACAGGGTTCTGACGGAGATACTCGAGTAGTGGATTCCAAGAGTTAATACGGTATAGTAACACGGTACGAGTAAATGAACAAACAAAGAAAGACGACTGAAGGGCAGGGTAGGCCGGGTCCCCCCACAGAGTTTTTCTTTCAAGTACAGTACCGGTAAATATTATACTGCTGTTGACCACAATAAAGAGACTTTGAACCCCTATAATAGTCCCTCGCTGACAGGGAATCTGGCCCACCTAAATCGGCTACTGTATCAATCGTGCTCATCCTAATGTTTTTAGCCTAGTTGTTTTGGACCCTAACCTTCACCGTAGGCCTGGCCCTCCCGGTCATCATGACTAGCTAGGACCCCGTCATCTTCCAAGTGGATGACCGGTCAGGTCAAGATCTCGGGGGTGACTACCCACCACTGCCACCACTGACTGACGCGAGGATATACTCGAGTATCGTACTCGAGCACAGTGCAAGAGTGCAGTGTTGGAGGGATTGAGTCTGGAGTAAGTGCTTCGAGGATTGTGGTTGCCTGAGCGTATTTTGTCGGGAGGGGAGAGGGTTACCGGTATCAGGAGTTGTCTACGGTATTGTGATCACGTGGCTAGGTAGACGCTACTGTGCTTCTACTTGTACGCAGGGGCATTCTGTTGGCGTGGGTGAATGGGGCACACGGGTCGTAGAGTCACTTTAGAGTGTGGCGCTATGCTCGCGTGCTCTTGAACAAAGCAGATGATCCAATTGTAATACTGTAACTTAATCTGCAGTAGCCCTCCATGGAGTACGCACAGGTGTGGCCGACATGGTAGCGGGGCGACGCCTATGTCACAGGGATCTGTGTTGCGTCCTGGCGGGCGAGTGGATTTTTGCGCCCGGCACCGCCGCACTGTGCCAGTGTATGCGGGGTTGGGTGTTTCCAGCGATATGTTTGCCCCGGACTCCTGGTGCATCAGCGCAGAGTAGGTCATGGGGGCTTGCTTCCCCGGCCAGTGCCGTACGGTGCGTGTTACTACCGGTATCGGCTATTTGGCGTGTGGCTCGGATAGGATATACAAGTAGCGGTAACCCGCCCTGGGGCGGGGATTTGAGCTGTAGCGCGTGGACCTTGTTGCGGAGGTATCGTGTACTGGTAGGCTATCATGAAAGTTGGCGGTACCGGTAGCGTGGGGTTGGATGATAGCTCCCAATGACCTGTCTGTGCCGTCGCTTGTGCCATTGTGCCTTGCGGAGAGAACCGGTGCCATGGTGAGCGATGAGAGCTGCACCAGATGGTGTCTACTGGTAGTCCATTCTGGATAAAGGTGGATGCATCCATCCGTCTCGGCGGCCGGTGGATCGGCGTATGACAGCACTGTGATGCCTATCCGGCAACCTGACAGGCAGCCAGAAAAGCCAAAACGGCGATAGGTGCTCTCAGCTGCGAATAATGAAGAAGGAGAGCACCGGCACTCGTACTAATTATAGCAGCCTGGGAAATTCTGGTGATTCACTTGTCATGCAGACTGATGCAGTGGACTACCCCGCCGGTACCGGAAGAACTCGGATTCCGTGGATGACGAGACATGGGGTCAGATATTTGAATTCCCCTCCATGGAAAACCCGGGCTCCAGGTGAGAAAAAAACGGGGGAATCTACGATACTGTTCGGAGGGCCTTGTAACGAGAGGGAACTACAACCTGCTATGACCGCCTATCTGTAATGCCGGTACCGTATCGTCTGCTACCGGTATGATAGCACAGTACCGGCATAGCTCATGGCATTTCAAACTGACACCCCACCAACTTCAAACCCCTCTAACTGAGCAACGGCGGCCTCCGGATTTGAGAACTTTTTTGCGATCATACTCTAGTGCCAAAATTCGTGCTCCCCACCCTTATGTTGCACCAAAAATGTGCATTTTCAGCTTGCAAAATATCAGCCCTGTCGCGTCACAGGAAAAGAAAATGTTAAAATTCCCTAAGACCTTTGGAGCCATCTGCATATTCTCATTTATGTGACAAACGCTGTTGGCTGGTGCCTATGATTCAGTGCTAGAAATAATAATAGTAGCAGGCAAATGGTAGCTTTGATTTTATACGAGTTTCCCATATAAAATGTGTGATCCATTACAACATGATTAATCAAATCTAGACCTAAGCTTTCGGCCCTCACAGCGGAATGGGAGAGTTCTTCTAATTTCCATCATAATTATGATATCATACCTAGAAAGTCTAGGGTATTGCCTATTAATCCCATACCACCCCCAGGTAATCTGAAAGCCCGGAAATCAGCCACCCTTGGTGGAAGGTGGCGGAGGTGCCCACAAATGTCGTCATTGGGATCACAGATGATATTTAATTTTTCATTCTCAAGTGATATAGAAGGGATTTTTAAAATATCAAATTGAGCTGATTTTGTGTTTCTATGGGCTAAGTTAGGGCTTAATTCACACGCTCGAAACAAGTATGATACTGGTAATTAATTGGTACAAGCACAATACCCCATCTGGGGTACTTGTAGAGGAGTTCCTGATTGGGGAGCGACGACGCGAAACGCTTCTATATTGGGAGAAGATTGGCGGCTTAAGGAGTGTTCGGATTAACACTGGGGCTGAATTGTAGTGCCCGGAACGACTCCTACTGTACGAGTATGATTGTATCATTAGATCTGTCGTGAGATTTTGCTGCGGAGATTGCTCTGCTAAACCGCATTTGGCTCGGCAGGGTACTGTACCCGTACAAGTGCTCGAAGTGTGCGAGAACTTGTACGGTACAGCACCCGGACCAGAGAAATGAGCTGGGACCTTGTGATTGCCTCCGTACTCTTCGTGAGGCGCCGAGCGCTCTTATTTGTTTATTTTTTTGACTCAACTAATGGCTGAGTTTGTCGTGGTTCCTCCACCCCTCACATAGAGGGGTAGAAGAGGGGGAGCGGGGGCTCAACGCCCGGCTACAAGCCTCTTGCTACGAGTAGGTTAACGAGCGCGGGTTAGTGAGCTCCGGCAGTCTCAGCCCGCCCGAGTTATCTCCTAGACCGCTGAAGCATTGGAAATCCTTTGCCAGCCCTGTTATCGCCCGAGAGACCGCATGCTTTGGGTTTCTGCTGCTGTTCTCGTATGTTCTCGGGGTGCTTATGATAGCCGGCCATCCCCGAGGTACAGCATGCACAGATTGCGAGGCTTTAGTAATTGGCAAGAGTTACTTACTAAGCACGATGTACTGGTATCATAGCTTTTCAGCAGTCAAGGAGATAACTTACAGCGTCCGGAGCAGATATACGGCATCACACCGGCCGGTACAATACTCCTTCTCGGCGTTTTGTCCCCGATCGCCGAGCTCTTAGGAGATTGAGCATAATTTACTCGAGTACTTGAGTAGTCTAACGAGTTTTTGCCTTGATAGGCTGGCTAACACGCGTGCTGATAGCTACGCCTCTGAGGCTCAAGTACCCGCGTGGTAAGTGCTCCTATCGACGGAACTGAGCGAAGGATAGACAGCCTTATCGCGAAGAAGACGGGGCTTACAGGCGCAGCCTTTGGTTGGATAAACTAGGATTATGGGACCTGGGGTTCCCCAAGGCGACTGTTTGGAGGGGCTGTAGGTAGATCCGTGGGGATGGTGGATGCGCAGTTTCCTGTTAACTTACTACACAATTCATCATTCTTACGGCGCGGCGGTTTCTGATGAGGTTTTTTGGGAAATTGATCGTTTGCCGGTATCGATACTTGTACTGTACCTGGTAAATTAGTGACGTGAGGAGGCGATCTTTTAAAACTTGGCTGGGAAGCTACTTGAGCACGGGTATGATACTTTGTACGAAACAAATACAAGCTCTTTCCCCCATGCCAGGGAATACGGAGGGGAGAACATGTCGTCGAATACGGTATCCACTCAATCGAGTCCGTTTGGCCTTCAAGGTGGTGAGAGGCTGGAGGTGGTGGAAATGCGCTCTGCTGGGCTAAGTCAACATGGGTGGACTAAGGCGGTTTATAATAAGCCGCGAGCCGTGATTTTGGTTTGGCCACAGAGGTCGGGCACTGTACGGTACGAGTACCCGGGTCGCCGGATTGAGGTCGCTCCTGTTTTGGCGGTGACCCACCAAAAAAAAAGGCCACTTCGATCCGTCGATACGAGTATGAGTGATAGGATGATCGCATTTTCACTATATCGTAAATTATATATATATAGCGTGCGTGTCTGTATAGTGCGATCGAACCTACCAGGGCTGGCATATTGACCTCCCCGATCGCATTTGAACTCAACCCCGTAGCAAGGGAACAACCCCCAAATAATAGCTTTTATCGTAGCATTTCCCAAACATATAATACCATACCATAGGTTGCCTGTGGGTTAACCCTGGGGCCTGGGCTGGTGGTGGCGAGGTGGTCACCACCAAAATTCGACTTGACCCGAGGGCTGGGGTTGGGGGGCTATTCGGCTGAAAACAATTTGAGGACTAAATTCGAGGGCTTCGTTCGCTCAATCGTCCTTCTTTGTTCATGCGTTTGTTCGCCAACTTCTCACCCTCCGAACCTCTAAATCTACGAAGGGGCGTTCGTTTCTTTGATCTTTCAGCGAAATGCCAAGCCACTCTATCCCCGCGTCACGGACCATGGTCAGGTTCATGACTGCACCTGGCTCTGATGAGCGGTGCAAACTGGTTTAACTTGCGGGATACGGGTATTCGTGTGTTCACGATTGGCAGATGCCCTGTGGAAGGCGCTACCCACCCATGCTATATATACGGGTAATCCATCGCCTGAAGTTCGGTTAATCACTGTGCTAGCACTGAGTGGGTATGGGAAGAGCTACCGTACAGTGCATTAATATTAATACCCCCTTATGCCCCCTAGAGATCACCACCAAGTATACGCAGCAACCGCCCTCACTACCACCACCACCACCGTCGACCTCACATTATCCGCCTCCATCCTACGAAGATTATAAAGCAACCGAGACCGGTTACCTTCGGGGATCATTGTCCGGCCTATTGTTGTTTGCTGTCGCTTGCACCATCCTTTCCAGGATGTATCGCCCTGCGGTACTGTTGTCCTTGTTATTGCTTTTTCCTACTGAGGGGAAACCGACGATGTTGATGAGAACTAGGGCTACCAAACTCCCCCGATGATACCTTATGAGGGGGAGCACAGATGGACCTTTCGGGCCCCCCGGGAGTTGACCTTCCGGCAGGAGCAGCTCCCGAACCCGCAGCTTACGGTAAAGGGGCACGTCAGGGTCAGGTCTTACGATCCGAGGGATGGAGGGGATGAGGGCGTGGTAATAGACGTGAAGATGAGGATGAGCCACCGGGACGTGGAGAGTATGATCGAGATCCGGGCTGTCAGGGATGGGGTGATCATCAAGGTATGATAGTTCGACCACCTTCCGCCCATCTGTGGTTCAGCCGGTGGGCTGTGCTATGCATGCCGTGGTCTAGCACGGTTACACTGACGAATTCTTGAGCAGACAAAACCGCAAAGGTCATGGTCGACGCTGTCCTGTCTCAACATTGCCGCTACCATCTCCATTCCTCTAAGTAATCCACATATAGAGAGCACCGGTATTTATACCGAGACACTGGGAATCACCGTTGAGCCGAATTGTGACCTGGTGACCCCTTTGCTTGAATTGAAGACGGCCGCTGGCGACATAACGCTTGATGAAGCCTTTGGGGTGGAGGCATGGAAGGCCAAGGCTTCCGCCGTCAGCGGCTCAATTAGCGGTGATTTTGCTTTGTTCGAGTCGGTCGAGTTATACGCTGCTTCGTACTGCTCCCATCCCTCAATGCTCCCACACCCGAACTCCGACCCCAATTATTGACTAATGATATGATGCAGTGGGGCGATAAAAACCACCCTCTTCCCTCAACAACATGGGGGTGGTACAACAAGCTACAAGGCCACTACAATCTCCGGCAACATAGAGACCTCGTTCCCGGACACTAACCCGCCAGAGGGGCACTACGAGACTGAAGTTAACACGACAGCTGGGCGCATCACGGGCCAATACCTCCTTGGCCACGCGCTATCACTGAAGACCACTAGCGGGAGCATAACCTCGACCATCGTCCCGACAAACGCTCGTAACGCACAGCTCAGAACCGTCTCCACGCAAGGGAACACAGAGCTGAGGTTCAAAAGGGGGCTGGGGGCCGGCAGATGGGGATTATTTGCGAAACACGAGGCTATTAGCGGGAATATCAACGTGAAGTATCCGACGGATTTCGAGGGGGCCTTGACAGCATCTACCGTTGCCGGCAGGATCGCTATTGGCGGCGCAGAAGTCGATGCTGTTGCTAGCGGCTGGCCGATCACTAAAAGGGTTGATGGTACAAAAGGGGCAGGGAGGGAGGGGAGGGGAGGAACGGTTGAAGCGGTAGGAACAAGTGGTGGAATACAATTGTGGGTTGGATGATGATGTGGTGGAGTGTTTGGAATGTACATGTTTAACGCAAGGGGAAAGGGGGTGAATTTTTGCTTCCCATCCGGATTTCGCAGTTGTGTTGTTGTTGGGAGAGAGAGTAGCTAGCGGCGGTCACGATACCTACTCGCTATTCAATTTTGAATCGATTGGTGATTTAGATCCGTTTCGCAACGGGGAGAGTGAGTGTTTATGAATAATGACACTCAAACTGTGCCGGAACTTGGCAACATGTTCGCCTATGACTGGACGAGAATGGAATGCAGCGACGAATGGTGAACTCCTCTTTATCCTCCTCGGTTTCGCTTGTGAAACAGGTACCCGTCCGCATCTAAAAAACCACTAATCCATTGGCTCGCCCTGAACACGAGTATGAAGACGAAAGCCGCTCGCTGAAAGCGAGCGATAAGGTTCATTCTAGAAGGGTTTCTTTCTCTTTCTCCCCAGTCATCAAGAACATGATATATCTTCGTCCTCCTGCTCCCATTCCTGCTCCTCCCTGTCCAATTCATTCATTCCACCCTCACTCGCCCACTCATCCCCTCACCTATTCTTCTGGTAACCTGGTGGTGCTATCCGACATTCTTTTTCTTCACGAAAATGTTTGCGCCGAATTTCCTCCCTCCCTCATTCCTTCTCCTCCTCCTCTTGATATCCACCCCGCAAGTCTCCGCCCATGCCCGGATGAAAATCCCGCCACCCCTCGACGGCCCGACAGCGACCGACGCTAGCGGCAATGCCTACAACGGTCCTTTATCGGGCACGGGTGCGGACTTTCCTTGTAAGGGACTACACAAGAAGCCCGGGGTAGACAAGACTCCGAAAGTAAAGTGGGCCGCTGGATCTACTGCTTTCTTTGAGTTCGCCCCCCCCCCCCCCTCCAGCGCTCTTCTTCGGTTTGTGTTAACCTTACCAGACTAGTTCCTAATGGGCCCGGCGGCGGGGAAGGAGCAATGGCAGCCCACAGCGGTGGGAGTTGCCAAGCTTCCCTCAGCTTCGATGACGGCAAGACCTGGAAAGTGCTGCACACCTATCAAGGGGGGTGTCCTCGGGACGTGCCGTACAATAGTAACATCGGTGGCCCCAACCAGAAGTTTGAATTCATGGTACCGAAGCAAGCAAAGGCTGGGACATGTTTGTTTTCTTGGTGCGACGCTTCTTCCCCCCGATCCCCCCTCCTCTATATCGACCTGGCACTAACACGCTCACAAAAGGACCTGGACAGCAGCGACCGGCAATCGCGACGAGTACTACCAGAATTGCGCCGCTGTCGAGATCACCGGATCGGGCACTAGCGGGCTAGAGGATCACGAGGACATGTGGGTCGGGGATATGGATCTCCCAGGCCGCATCAAGGCGGGCGAATGCCGAAGTAAGGCTGGGACCGCGATAGTGTACCCCAACCCAGGACCAGACATTACCATCAAGGAGGTTTCCGGGATTCCGTTCGGACCGTCAACCGGCGGGACGTGTTTCGTTGGTCCGGGGAAGGGGGCAGGCACCGGCAGCGGGAGTGGCGATTCGGGCGAGGGCGCTGGTAGCGGCAGCGGTGGCAATGGTGATGATGGGAGTCCGGTTGTGACAGAGAGCGAATCCGCGGTTGCATCGTCGCCGGTGCCGTCCGCTGCAACTAGCATAGCTAAGGGAAAGACTACGGCTAAGGGTACGACTGCCACTACTACACCGCAGATGGGGAACGGAAATGGATCTGGCGGAGACGCACCCCTTCCTACCACTGCTCCTGTTGCCACTACCCCCACCCCAAGTGGAAGCGGGAGCGGAGGCGGGACCAAAACCACAGACCCAGCGAACGGCCCCATGTTCCCTACCTTCGAAGAAACAGTCCCCCCGATAAGAACCTTGACCGAACCAAAGTCCGGGGCGAAGACCAGGACAGACTCGGGGCGCAGGAGTACGAGTTCTAGTTGTGACACTAGTGGCACTGGTGGCTCCGCTACTGGAGGCTCAGGCTCAGGCTCAGGCTCAGGCTCTGGATCGGGCGGCAGCGCTGGCAACACCAACGTCGGTGCAGGCGCAGGTACAGGCACCACCCCTGCCGCCACACAAAAACCATGGACCAAGATATACACGCCTACCACTTTCCAGACCAAGTTCATTTCTACCAATTAGTTTGCCCTTCATCCCCCCTTCCTTTGCTCCTTGCTTTAGCACTTGGGCCTCACAGTGCGGGTGATATATAGCGTTCTTTCCCTGTTTCTTTCCTTTGGATTTCTTTCCTTTGGCTCCCTTCCTTCTCTTTTCCTTGATTTCTGGGGCATTATTCGGCGGCCGGGCGCGGGTATAAGCTTTTGTTTTTCTGCGGGATGCATGTATAATAGATTAGCCGGCAGAATGCAAATTTTTTCCTGTACGTTTTCTCCTCCTTTCCTCCTTTCTTCCGAAAACAACCCAGAGCTGTGATTGGGTGGATGTTCTGGAAGAAGTGTCGGAGACACCACTTCAACGTGATGCGTGCTACGAATATGCCCGGCTACCGGCCACCCCACTCGGCGTACCAAGCTTCAGGAAATGACAATTTCCACATTGACCTATATAGTCACCACTTACCAGTATAAGCAAGAAAGTCTTAGGCGCACGCATGGGCAAAGGCACTCCTCCGCACCTCCGATCCGCCCGGTCTCACACATTTTTTTTCCAAATCGCTCCATCTTCAAGATACGGCTCCTCGCGCACAACCTCCCAGAAGAAGAAGCTTCCGGTTAGTGTGAATTGATATGACTGCTAACGAGTAAGAAGCTTGATTCTCTCACCATCTGTGCAGCTGTGGGGTTTTTATGCTAACTGAACCATCAAGTGAAGGAAAAGAAATATCAAAAAACCCAGGGTCAGTAATATGAGAACTTCGGATAATGAAACTAACTGGGGGGAAACTGGTCTGTTTGGCGGATAAGCACTAAATCCAACTGCTAGTCCGAGTGACTTTTGGTGATTTTGGGATTCTGATGGTGGGGGGTGTGTGGGGGGATATTTTTCTGGAGGATAAAGTTGGGTGGTTGGGCATCACACTCTAGAATTCTACAAGGACTGATGTGCAAAGTGTGCCGGAGCGTAAATAAGTGACTGTGAATAGTCCAGAGTAGAAGAGAGAATCACTTGTTTCATACGGTTGTTGGCGAGAGTTAGCTCAGATGGCGGTTTTAGACTGTTTTGTGGGCGGTAGATAGATATATACATATCCGCTGGGTGTGTGCTCCTTGTCACGGCTACTGTGGTCACCATCATTTCTATCACACTCGCGCCTGTCTAAACCGCCTGTGCCATGGCTGTCCATGGCGGAACCTGTAGGGTGGCTGACCCCACCCACCAACAAAGCTTAGGCATGGTACCATACCCGCGAAAGAGGTATCATAGTAAAAGACTGAGGACGCCATGGTCTATGGTGCAATGCATAATACCGTACCAGGTCGGGGTTCCCCACTGTACCACGCCCTAAGTTTTATCTTATTTTCTTATACTATCGGATAGCAAATATATGAGTCTGTCGTTAAACTCGTGATGCAGAGTGAAATTATAGTATAGTAATGTACAAGTACCAAGTTACTAGCACAGGCCCCTCGAGACCTCGGGGAATTTGGCAAATCTTTCTTCTTTCTTTAGTCTAAGACTTCTTAGCCCCACCCCAAGTCAATGGGTGGATCTCGTGAGAAGCATTCTCCACCTCTACTGACCAAGCCATGGGTATATGTTGATACTTTTTCCTCTTTCCCGCGCCCTCCACCCTTCCTTCCTAGCGGTATCATAGGTGTTGTGGTATCATACGAATATGTCATCAGATTAGCTGGTTATCCTATGATCAGATCGCACTCTTGAGATATGCGTTCAGTGCTATATAGATGCTCTCCCATCACAGCCCCCCCCTTGTAAATGTGCGATCGTGTCTAGGGAGAAACACTGGCTCGGAGTAACAACGGGGTCGAACAGCATTCCGGCCATTAACTTGACGCATCACTGGGGAGGGAGCGGGATAGTTCGTGGATAGGGTGGAAAGATTGCTTGAAAGGGGTATGCAAGACTGAGTGAACAAGTATCTAGGGAAGGAAGGAAGAAAGAAAGGGGAAGGTGGAAAATTGTTGAACGTGGATGGCGGAGAGTTCGGATACATGATTCTATCATAGCTCCTCCAGCCCGCGTGGTGGGAATTTCGTATCGGGAGAGGTATTATAGCAAGGTCTGAGGGCGTTGTAAATCTCGTCAAACATGGCTGCTTTCAAGGTGTTATCACTCTGCGGTTTCTCCTAAAATTCCTTTGGAAATGAAATAAATTTTAAAAGCAAACAAGTGTCTGAATTATACAACATGACTCCTGCCAATATTTACCAGCAGTATAGTTGGCGGGCATTCACAGTTGCTAAGGTCATTTCCAGACTGCGATCTATCCTTCGCCCAGAAAAAAACCGTTTTGGCGGTGAGCGGACTCAAAAAAGAAGGCATTTGACGCGGGTACTATGTCGGGGATCAGAATAATCCTCGAAAATGGGTTTCTTGAGGGCCTAGCGATGACAGGACTAGGTGTAGCAGAAGAGAAAATCAAGACGTGGCCGAAGACGAAAGTGAGGGGGGAGTTGTTCGTGTCTCCACCCGGAAGCTCTGAACAGGAGACTAAATACAGGAGAGAGAGACAGCAACCACTAATAGCGCTGCCCCCCCAGCGACACACAAAACAGTCACACAAACAAACAAACAGGGGCCTACACTTGCTGCCCTAATACATAAAGGTAATATTATGATCTCCCCGCATTGACCCCTCCTCCAATATCCTGCTATTTGGAATGTGCCATCACCTATTATAGGGAAAATCATTTCCTCCCCTTCCCACTTACAACACTTTCACTGGCATCATACTACCAGGGATTGACTCCAGCTCCCACATAAACACAAACCTTTGCTGTGAGCCCGTCTCCATCCAACCCAGCCGCGGACACCAGATGCGCACCGCGCACAACCAGTAGACCCTAGAAAACCCTTGTCACCTAGAATCATACAACGAATACCCGTAAAACGAAGTCGAAAAAGAGAAGGAGCTCCGAAACCCCCCTCCCCCCGACTCTGCTTGTACGTTAGTACATCTGGTACTAAGCTGCGCGCAGAAAACCACGATGTCCATAACACCCGAAGGCAACAGGAAAGTTACTCCACCGCGCGGGACCAAGTGGGCTCATGCACTAATTTTTGGTATGATGTCAAGTATCATCAGAGCGGCAATAGCTTATATCTGGTGGGGGTTGTAGGCATTCCGCAGGAGGGGACAAGGTTCCAAGGTTTCCTCAACGGACTATAATCGATTGTGATCACGGAAGATTCTTTGGAATTACAGTAATCACTACATCTCATACATGGTTTGATGTGAATCACGTCTGTTATCTTCCTTTTATAATTATTGAATACGGTACGTTACCAGTTAGGACCCCCTTCGAACAGGTGCCCACGACACCAGCAACGCCCCCCATATACCTAGCTAGTCCTATATGTCTACTGTACCCGCGTAATGATACCGCGTGATTCCTCTAACCCCACAACTTAGATACTACAGACTCTACTAAAACTACTAACCACACATTGACAGCACATCGACAGCAGCTGGACATCCAACCACTGTACTGTGTCCATCATATCCCGTATCTTACTCCACTCCAGCCGCCCAAGTATCTCCGGCGTCATGGTCTCCACCACTACCGGCATACAGACACCCGTCCTCACCCCATGACAGCCAGTCACAAGAAGGCTCTTTTTTCGACAAGGAAGCTTCGTCCCAACCCCAACAATTTGCACGCTCGGTCTTCCTCCTCCGGTGTGATGTGCTGGGCCGGGAAGCTCCCAGCTACTGTCCCCTAAAGGCCAATTAATTGTCGCGGTCAAACGCCATATTGTGGCTGGGGAACCAGGTGTGTGAAATCTTGGACGATAGGTGGCTCTTTTCCCCATCATCCACGATAGCGGACCCCTGCTGGCCTGACGACGGTATGGCTCCGGAAGGCTAAACTCTGTACTAACTTTCTAACAAAAATTGTGACAATTCTCCCTGTAAGTTAAGGCTGAGCGCAACACTCCAAAAATTTGTTGTGGGGCGGGATGTCGCCAAGCCACGTCTGAACGAACAAAGTTAAAGCAGCCGATCGGATATCTCAGTCAGACGCTTACAGCACGCCAAGCTATTTTAGGTCGACCTCGTGCCTTCCCGTCCCGCCGGCACTTTTGTGCCGTGGCGGGTTGTGATTATTTCAGGGCGGGTAGAACTCACCACAGTAATATGGCTTTTCACGGCCCGCTCACAAAAGTGTCGCGGGCGCTGGAGGGTCATCGTTTTGCCCGCCGATCTGCTCGGCTGCAGAACTGAGCTGCCAGAGCCACGAGGGGATACAAAGCCACCGTCCAGGGCCCAACATGAGTTTAGTTAGGCCCAGTTTGGCTCACCACCGATTGAGCCGTTTGTCGATTCAAAGACCGCCCCGGCTCCATAGCAAGAGTTACAGAATTAAGTTAATAAGCGTTAACGCATGCTGAAGGGCATGCCAAGTAAATTTCTTAGCAAGGTAACAGCTCCAAAACACGTTTTGAATCGATGAACGACTCAATGGATGGCGAGTCAAACCGGGCCTTAATGTATGAGGGGTATGATACGATCCAGGCAACAAATGAAATGATCCCCAGTCTTCTGTCCGAAATTCCAGTTTTGAGTTAAGCTGACTGGAATACCGGGGGCAACCACATAAAATCCCGTCCTCCAGAATGAGTGGCTTCCATAGGGAGGTTCGCGTTGTGAATTTTCCCAACTTCCATCGAGAGTCCTAGATACTAGGGTCGCTTGCTGAAAATATGATGCTATAGCAGCCGGTGAAATTCGCTATGTCTATTCCTATATGTGATAATTTTGGCTAAGATACTCACGTCGCTGGATTGAAGTCTCGTTTTTTTTGGGGGAGGCCACCACCAAAACAGGAGCAGCATCAATCCGGCCGCTTGGGTAGACCGGGATCAGGAGGTCTAGGCCACCGATGGCAAATTTTGTCTGTGCCTGCGGGATTAAAGCTCGGGTATCATTTCTATACCAAGAGCAACATTACGAGTGACACTTTGTGATTTTCCGGTGTGGGGAGGTTAAAACAACCCTAGTGGATGAGGCACGGAAGAATCGGGCTGATGATATATTCTCTTCTGCCTTGCACTTTCTCATCATGGGGGTTGCTTTTCTAGCGGGTACTGGCAAGTCGTAACTTTGTGCTTCGCGATACACTAGCTCGTGGTGGGCTAATACAGAAGCGTTCGGTGTGTTCCCACACAACCAGATGTCACCAGATGACAGGACCTGATGCCGAGCTATCCAGTGAGAGACCACATCTGGACAGGCAGCCGTGATCACAGCAGTCACATGGTAACCCGCCGATAAGTAACTATAACCCCGGGGTCCAACTCCATCCTCACTAATTGCACCACGATTTGAGCCAACAAACACCGATATCAGTCAGCTCTTCTGTACAACTGGATCCACTTTTATTGGCTTTAGATTATCGATCGGTGATTCTTAGGGATCACTACGCACAAGGGAAATGAGAGCCGTCCGGTAAACTCCTACCGGCACTTCTCCCCCTCGGCAATACCTGATAGAAGTTTATCCACCCCATGAGAAGTTTTTTTCTTTCCCTTTTTCCTTTCTAGCTTGATTAGGTTCCCGCCGTTACAAGCTATTCCCCTAGCCTCAGGTTTCTCGATTCTACCGTAATTCCTCCCTTATTCTACAAAGGGATGTAAGCGCAGGAACAGTTGCCGGGGGCCTTAAGTGGTTCGGCCTAAAGCACCGGACATAACCAAGCACAAAGCATCTTAAGAAAGAATGTTACACCACATTACTTCTAGCCAACCCCCACTTCTCACTTCCGCATTCGCGCAACGATAGTTCTCGAGGGCGCATTTCTACCCTCCGTGACGTTCCTTATCAGACCTAGCTAGGGAACTTCTCGAGACCGTGGGTGAGTTCATTGGTCCTGGTACACTTCACTGCCATCTTTGCCTTGGAAGTGGCCGGCTAGTCCCCGCACTTTGGCGCCCGCCTTATTTAGTGCTATACACAACTATGGCTCTAGAACTATAATATAGCATTGTGTACGAAGACTCTATTATACCGGTAGAACACCAAGAGAGGGAAGGAGGCTCTTCTTGAAGACCCCAATTTCTGCAAACAATTTAGGAATCCGTATTGCATTACAAGCACAATACCCCAATATATTGTTCCTATAGTGCAGTCTATACACGTTCGGATCTTCGTGCCGGTAGTTGTGCAACGCCGTATAGCTACCTTTTGTTTTTTCAGTGCTTAAATTCCTTCTTACCAATTTTCCGCGGACCAGTAGCACGCGGACAGTGGGCAATCCCTTGCAGGAGCTAACGCAGTACTACCCACTCAGGAACGAGGTCCTAGGGGCTTAGTGTACAGGCCGCGACAAATCTTGCTTGATAGGTGATATGGTGACGGTGGTTCCCTTCTCGTAAGGCTTGTTTCTCCACCTTTTCTAAAATCTAGCAACACTAGGCTAGCGGGATGTAATTGAGTCTGACATCCCAACGCTAGGATTGTCAAAGCCTCCACTTTCGGCCGTGGCCTAATTAGTAGATATGGTATGACATTTTTAGTCTTCACAAAATTGTGAATCCCGCACCCGTAATGGTCTGACCCCGGCTCCCCACAGTAGTGCTACCACTCCCGTAGCCGCCGTGCGCCATCTGGCTCGAAATGCTATCCGGCAAACTCCTTCGGGTAATCAGACTGTTCAAATGCCGATCTGGCTCTGCCACAGAGAAGGTCAAAGACATCCAGAACTAGAGGCTGCTGCCACTACGGTATTTTGTTTATCCGAGCCCCAACCGGCTGTGCCGCATGCTGTTGTCAAATTTAAGGTTAAAAGTCCAAGTGCTGCCCAGATGCCCTTACAGTCTGGTGCGCGCAGAGTGCCTAGAGTGGTAGCGACCCCCAAACCCTTAATAGGCATTTCTAGGCATGATCACCTCCACTTGGCACTGTTCCATAGGCCCAGAAGGGGGGTTCCCAAGGATATTAGTTGCACAAGATAATCGTGTTGGTGTGTACCTGCCTGTGCTGGTGGAGAATGAGTGCCAGCGATTTCCTTTCTCGGCTGTATTTCTGGCAATGGAGTGGTAGGTAAATACTCATCACGCTTACAACTCATGCGTGCTTTCCGGATACTAGCTATGTGGGGCCCATGAGGGTGATTTATAAGTTATTGATGTCTTAGTAACTGCAGGGGTGCGCTAGTTTTGTCTCACATTACTGCCATAGCCAGTAAAGATGCTGCACAGCAACCCTTATTCAAGCACCTCCTGTCTAAGCGATTACCTGGTTCAAGGAGTTTCTCGCCGTTAAGGGAATACCGCATACAAGCAGTAAACATAAACGGGCCGTAATAGTAGCAGGCTAATTAAGCGAGTCTTTTCTTGTATTGTGCCCGTGCAGTACGTTGGTTGCCTATCAACTTTTTCCCTTCCTGTTTCAATTTCTGGGGGAGATTCTCTGGACTTGGGTTTCCAACGATCCAGCGCTGCTACTAGATGGAAAAAAGGGCAAAAAAACCGCTGCACTCGAGTACAGTACCTGAAGAATCACAGTTTCCTGCGGGGATAGATGCACCGGCTGTACCCGTAGGACGGACAGCACTTGGTGCGTGCCGTACCTGTAGACCCCAGCCCCAGGCTAAGGCATCAGCCTTGGGAATCTCCTGCAGCGTAAATTTAGCTAACCGTAAGAGGACTGAATTCCTCAGGGGAAAAACAACAAGGACGACATGACATCAATTAGCCCGGTCGGACAGATTACAAGACTCGCCCGAGCACCTGATCCGTCGAATGGAACAAATTCACTCAATTCATCCTCCTCTCTCTATCCAGCAAAGTGAGACTTAGGACGATGGTCTGATTGTCACGCTCACCCCCGCGTTCATCCCCAAATCCAAATTTAGGAAGCTGCAGAAGTTCACGATGCACAAAACCCGTGATACTTGGTTGGCAATTTTAGGCTATTAGTCAAATTTCGGGGGTGAAGGGGTGGCGGTAGCGCATGCAAGCTAATTGCCGGTGATTATTCGATAGTTACTACCTTACATGCTACCAGTTCATTGGCCCGGAGCGCAAAGTGCTGAGATTACTGAGGGACTTCACTATTCAGAATATCAACTTTCCCACGAAATGGAGAGAATGGTTGCAGCGGGACAAACCATATCAAATTCCACCAGATCGCAGCCTAGATTTCAGGTATAAAACCCCCCCTCGCCCTCCCCCATCTTGCTTCCTCACCACCACCAGCTTCTCTGACAATCCATCGACAGCATTGATATCCTCTTCTTCAATTCATTTCAATCCCCAAGCCCTTTTTATTGAAAATGCAGGCTAAGGTCTTCCTCTCTACCATGTTGGCGAGTCTCCTCGCGGCCGGTGTTATTGCTACTCCGACTGCTCTTGAGGTTCGAGATATCAAGTCCACCCATGGTTGGGACGGCACCGTCACTGCTCTCGAAAAGGTCGCCGCCTCAGTCGGAAATGTGAAGCCCCACCCCAAGGGGACTGTCATCACTCCCAAAGAAAATGATACCCCGGTTGCCTCAACTGATGTCGAAGCCAGAGATCTCGTGAGTAGAAACCTATCTGCCATCAACTGTATTTGACGGGCAGTGATTAACTTTTACAATAGGAGAATCTTTCAAAGAGAACCGCTGGATGTATCTATGTGACCAAGGATTCGTAAGCAGTGCCTTACTTGGTATCCCCCTTTCCCCCAACGCTAACAGAATTACTCCAGCAACTTCGGCGGTGGAAGTCTGTACCTCTGTATTGCAACAAACGGCGGCTGCACCAACTGGAACAACGATTGGAGATACAGCATTAGCTCTTTCGGCCCCGACCCAGGTATTACCTACTTATCCGAGAATCGCCCTAATGAGCTCTGCTGACATTCTCTCTTACAAGGCACCACTTGCCAAATCTTCACCAACTCGAACTGTGCTAGCGGTGGATCCGTGCCCTTCGGATACCCCGGGTACGGAAACCTCGGAGGATGGAACGACAACATGGGCTCCTTCCGCTGCTGGTGGTAGTGGATGGATGCAACTCTTTAGCATTGGTTGAGAAGGCATATTCCGGCATTTGCGCACATGTTGGTAGTATATCTTTGACGTTGGTGTTAGCGTGGTCCGTTTTCGGTTTCTCTAGTCGGAGGAAATAGTTTTCTCTAGGTTCAGTAGTTGATTTGTATTCTCAGAATTGATATGGTTTGGCCACCATTACTACATCATATATCGTCCCGTTGTGGTACTGAGTGCGCGTGAAGAGCTCCCGTGTGGGATTAAGCATTTTTCAACCTTCTCCTCCTTCCAGGATGCCCTTTCCACGGAAAGAGGGGATCATCAATTGCCAACTCCAAAAAGCTAAGGGGGTGTCTGGCAACCGATATTATGATCCTAAATCGTGACCTTGCAATTCGGAATGACATTTTTTAAACCCTAAATACCTCTGCTATCTTATTTTAACTTATTAGCGCTCAACGTGACAATAAAAATATTTTCAAAATACCACACCATACCGATCCCCACAAAAAAACCAGATAAAGAAACATCACCTTGGTCATTCATCCTGATTCAAAGCGCTTTGAACATGCCCTGTACCAAAGTGAGCGCACTCCTGCGAATTGAAATCATCATCGTGTTTTCAAAACACCCTCCCCCCCCCCAATAGATTAACAAAACACAGATAGTACTAGAAAACACCTTTTTCGCTCATGCAGCCCACTGAAAGGTGCTCTATAACAGCACTTTTCTCGGCCTTCCATTTCACCAAACCTCATTTCCCTTCACTATACCGGGCTTCTGTGGGGGGAGCGCAAACGAGGGCATGTAAACTAAGTAGGGTAGTAAAGACGAAAGTTTAGCCTCCATGTGACACGAGTGATTCTTTATGACCAGTATATTACAGGCCAAATGAGTAATCCTATTATTTGGCCAACAACCGCGATAGTTAAAACCCCAATAAAGGATAGTAGCTTTTCGTATGGTAGCACCTCACAGTTATAGAGACTGATAGCCTCCTCCCCTCTCCCGGATCGAGTTCATTTGAATCTACCCCTAGTTATCATGCCAAGCTAACCCACTCTCTCAGCCCCTACTTCCCCACCAAGCCCTCGCTCGAAAGTAACAAATTCCTCAACTAAGATAGGAGAAGCAATAGTTTGAGAGCACCTGTGCCGGGGGTGAGCACAGGTGAGGTTTTCCTCAGTTTAACGGGCCACAATTAGGAGTTAACCACTTGAGCGACCCAACCTGTCATCTCTACGACTATCTATCTTATACGAAGTGACTCACGGAGACACACAACACCCCTCCCCCCCTTTGGCCGCGGTCGGGGCGCTGTAATTAAAACAATATCAAGTTACCATCTGCGCTGGCGCCGGTGGGCGTGAGGCTCTGCTCACCAGTACCACCACGGGAACGTCACTTTGGCTGCCCGACTTCATATGAGCGGTGCAAGTGCTGGCGCGTATTATTTTTTTTTCCTAATGGAAACACCGGCTGAAGAATCCCGGCGAGGAGGTGGGATTCAAGATTTCTGGTGTATCAGGGCCTCACACAGAGTTTTTCTATTATAGAAAAAGGCCCGGTAAGCAGATCTTGATCGAGAATACTACTTCGCGTCACCCCATATCGATCCCTAATCCATCGATAATAAGGACTACTATATCGGGCTGCCGAGGGAAGATGAGTGGGGTTGTGAAGGAATTTTAAATCGATACGATGTCAACTCTGACTCGGTTGATATTACCTGTCCCAAAGGCCGCCGGCTTTAGTAGTACAGAGGAGACACAAGAGAGGCGTGCCGTTCCCGGAGGAAGTACTAGTCAAGATCCCACCAAGAATTACTTCCAGATGCCACTCTACCCGGCCACTTTTACCGGAACTGAGGTGGTATTGAAGCTGCCATTGGCCCGGGAAGATATCAACCCGACCAGAAATTTAAGAGAACAAACAGTGTTTGCAGCGGGGCACCCTACTGCGTTATGGATAGGACAAAGGGCAACCTGCTATCTCCAGCAACAAGTCCCTGTGTTCCTAAAAATCACGAGACAAGTCGAGCGTGGAGTTGAATAGAAGAAACTAATCTCACATGGTAGTGGTTCTCCGAGATAAAAGACCTTGACAAGAAATTTTGAACAGAGAGGAAGCATACGAGGATGGCTTGGGGATGTAAAGCTGATGCCTCCGATCCCATAAAGCACAATATTTATAGTATATTTGGAGCATGCAAATCACTACCTCCAGTTCCCCACCCTTGCAACTCCCCCACTACCCCCCGCAGATGGTTACGGCCACCCACAGTCTTCGGAAGAAACGAGTGATCCGCTACGGCCTAGCCGGAGTTCGCCAATTTATGTCTGACCCCGCGATGCTGTCGCCCTTGCTGAAAGCTGCTGTTCTCCAAAAGCCACAGGGCTGGACGGATTCTAAACAGTGGCCCAACCCTACCCAACCTTCCAGGTGTTCAAATATTTCAGTTTTCACAATAATAATAACTCTTTAGGAAAATTCAACGCCATATAAAGAATATACAGTAGTGGCATGTTAAGCAAGGAGGAGGTGGTATAAAGATAGGTTGGTAGAAATTCTTGTGCTTAATCCTCCCAAGTGATGCAGGCGGCAACTACTATAATATTATATACAACTCCATGTCCAGCATATGAATAAAAGAACAGTGAGGGGAAACAAAGCAAGAACTGAAGGTGGAAACATATTTGACCCCGAAAACCTGTCAAGGAAATCCCAAATAATAAAATACAGGAATTAGCCATAAGGGTGTGAGCAAATAAGTTGAGAGTATTATGATATCAACTGACAATAAAACGGCGGATAAGATGGAGTGCACTATACGCCATCTTTTCTGCATGAAATCCCAAAGTTTTCATCAATCTAATAAGAAATACCCGAAAAATCCTCTAATCATTATCATGAAACATTAATGTAATATATATAATACATACCCTACATGCTCTAGATGGTGAAGTGCTCATAATCCATAAACCGTCAAGAAGTAACACCAAGCAGAGCAATATAAAGTATGGTGTTGTCAAAGAAAACATTCATTTGAAACGAATAAGAAAATTCTCAACCCTGGGAAGCCTCCCCGCGAGGATCCCTGCTTTAAATAAACATAAGAAACGAGGTTGTTCGGGAAAATTCTCACTAACCCCGGTCTCACGAGACTGGGCTCTCCAATAGTCAGGCTACCACCAGATGATTGATGCATACATCTATCCCCATACACTCGGAGACTGCGGGAAAAACTCGTCTCTCCTGGATGCCTTCGCGCGCAATCCAGAAACTGCACCACGAAACAAGCCAATTCCTCTACCTTAACAGAGCCGAAGACTTCCCGGGGAGCACTCTACTCACACAGGATAAAGAGAGGATTCCATATCAATTCTCCAGATAATCATTGATGTATATTCGAGTGAGATTCTATGATTACATCAAAGCGGAGAGAGACCCAGGTCTTGACTATATCTCAACTATATGCCGGGGATCACAGTTACTGCTACATTTGACCTTCTTGAATGCGGATGCGTAGGCTGTGTTAAAGCCTAGAGTTTGCGGCCATTGTTTACCACCTCGAAGTCTTCCTGCGACATAAATGGGAGCAGATCGACGGCACCCCAGCTAAAGCAACACCGTAGAGTCGAACTATGGTAAGGGGAATGGCAAAGATTCCTAAGTGCTTCCAGAGTGTTTCTATGGTGCGAGGTGTCTATGGAGAACGCACTCTGTAGGATAGAGAATAGATGTGCCTCACGTTTTGTTAAGGGAGATATACCACCCGGCGATCCCAAATCCTACCACTCATCCACTAGTTCTCGTAAGCGCTGCTACTACTGATGGGATTTTTCAATGTACTATTGATACTACACTAGAATTTGGCTAGGTTTTTCTAGTAGTCCCCGGCTAGAGATCTAGAGCTTAGATCCGGTAAAATATACCAAGTTCTTTAATTTAAGGGAATGGTTGCTCTTTCCTATAGCTAACTTTCTACTTCGAAGAGCCATCGATTGTAATGCGAGCAAAGCTACTAAATTTCCCAGCTATAGAAAAGTGTTCCCCGCAGAACCCGTTATCCACGACTTGCCAATTCATACCAACTCCTCAACCTAAATGAAGCGAAACCAAGTTATCCCGTGTAAACATACACTTTTAAGGTAAAGTTAGTATCTCCCACAGATTTAGTCCTAGTCTCAAGCAGCCTGAGCTCCTGGAGGTTACATGCTTGACGGGGGGACTAGGGCCGACCACGAACGAGCCTGAGCTTGATTTATATAGATATCGCCAACAGTCATTTTCCATCACTCGCTCTCCACCTCCCACCAATCCATGGGAAAAGTGTCCTAACCGACCTATCACAGCAGACGTATGATAGGACAGCTTACGAACAGAGTGGGTCGAAAGCTTTGGCAGACCATCCTACCGCATCACTCGCATATGCTCCAGACCCAAATAGGAGACCTTCTCCCAGGAGCAGCGCCTTTCTCCGGCCCTTTTATCCCTTCCATAATAACCAAAATATCAGCACTCAGAAGACCGCTGGCGGGAATTCTCTTTCGATTATCTACTCAGACCTCGATGCAAGCTTCAACGCCTTTCCCAGCATGGGGGCTGAATCGGTCAGGTCAGGCCATCTACATCCCACAGGCTTTAGAACCGGAAGGCACAGGCTGTACTAAAATTTTCACGCCTTCAACTCTCTCGAAAGATATATCACGCCATGGTGGAATGGTTTCCACGAAGCTAGCTCGAGCGAAAGCCTGCAGTGGCTCCATTTAGCTCCCACTTTGAGGACGTTGGGAACAGAAAACCCAGTCCTTAGGTTTCCACCCGCTCTAGAACCCGTAACTTATTTTCACAAAACTAGTATCGCAGATCCCGAATAACGCCAGTTAGTGTCCCAAGCAGATATCATAAACGATACTCGAGTACTCCTCCTGGCCTCTGCAAACCCCCCCCCCCCCCCCCACTCCCCATCTCCTATATGAGAAAAAACCCCTCGAAACTCAAACACACCATCACACTCCCGTGTTTCAATAACAAACATAGCTTTAGTTTCACCCAACAGGCAGTAGGAACCCAGTACCTCAGAATCCCTAGTATCCAACCATGGGGCAAGCCGTGAAGATACCCGCCCAGGTCATGTCCACACCCTCAGTGGTTGTTTCAAATCCTTAGTCTCTCATAGGGGCTGAGCACCCAGTTCTTTCCCACGAATTTGGACCTCCCAACAAAAGAGTAATCCATAGCGCCATCCGGAGTTTCAACAACATTCTTCCACCATAGCAAGTCTAGAATCACAAATCCTCGCACGACGAGATCACGAACCCCTCTCCTCCAGGCGTAACGCCATACGGCAGTGCCAAGTGAACGTCCACACCACCCACCGCCTACGATACTTCCAAATACACGCTATAGTGGAGTATAGCACGCATACCACCCACCACGCCACCAGAAAATCACGGAATCGCACTCGCTTGACATTGATACAACCCAACCCGGAAACCCCACCCCGTGCTCCGCCCCGCCCACCACCCCACGTGCCATCTTTGCCCGGTGATACGGCCGAGATCGCCTGCGCCACTGGCCAGGCGGGAGCGTGCCATATCGATTTACCCGGGGTGGTGCCTGTACGGGTTGGGGCTATGCAACTCGGATGCTGAGATACCGGTACCCCGGTCCAGCCGGACAAAGCGTGCGCTCGGGTACGGCGCTAGGGCATGGGACAGTGCGAATAAAGCGTGGCCTTGTCGCAGGATACGAATCCGATCGATAGTCCCAGACGGTCCAACCTTGCGCTACGTTGCGCTGTCGGAGCAGTCTCCTCTACGATAGTTCCACATGGTCCGGTATTTTATTTCTACTTTATATCGCCCCCCCCCCCCCCCTCCCCCAGCAGCCAGAGAGATGCCCAACAACTCACTTCTCGCTATGCTTTTCGCCCTTTTCCCCAGAGAGGGAAATTTGGACTACGTAGCACACGGTTCACATATTTGAGGCAGCTGTTATAGCGACAGGCGAAGTCTTGTAAATGGGTTGGTTGAGATACGGCACAGTACGAATACAGTACGAATACAGTACAGTACTGTACGTCACCCCCGCCAGTCGCCACCAGACACGCCTTCACCAAATACTAATCCTACTTGTACTGTACCGTACCTCTGATAGAAAAAACAAACGAGTGAAATAAAATATATATATATAAAAAAAGAAGGCTCTAGTCCCCCTTTCTGCTCCCCTCCGTTTCCGCAACATCCACCTGCCAAAACCACCGCTTGAACCAGGGACTGCGAAACCAACCGAGTGACGAATTATGAGCGATCCCCTACCCCCACTTTATCAAGTACCGTACCTAAAACGCGCTACCATACTTCCAGCTTCCCCCCATCCAACCCGAAGGCGTAGCGGCGGCCCCACCTCCGTCGCGCACTTACAGCCGCATTGGCACGACGTTTCCCACCATCTAATTGGATAAATCTTTAGGTATCATCGTTAGGTAAAAATGGGGAAAACGAGTAATTCGTGTAAGCTCTATTCTTTTTAGAGAAGGTGCTGTTTGATAAATTATTATGATAACCTTGTTGTGATCGCTCCTTGGGGAGGGAGGGGGGGGAGGGGGGGGGGGGAGGAAGTGAGAATGAGAATTTTCGGCAACTACCGATACCGGTATGCCAAGCTGCGGTGTTATATCGTTCCGGTAACTTACTCGCACTCCTAGCGTGTTGCGGCACCGTAAGCTACCGTAGTCTTTGGAATTACAAATGCGGTACCCGCACCAATGCGCTCAGCGGTGAAAGAAAAGAAAAGAAAAAAAGTGACTGGTATTGTAGAGGTTTGGTGGGTGCAGTTTGGTAGAAAGGGCAAATCTTGGCTGTTTTTCCCGTTGGGGGAAAGGGAAAGTTAGGCTGAAGCAGCAGCGTCATTTAATATTGTAGAGAACCTGCGCTGCCATACCTAGCTAGGGGAGTTATCAACAAGGCGGCTAGGGGTCGCCACTCCCATCGACAGCCTAGACTATCTATCAGATCCCCCGACAACCGTTCAAATCTGTCTGAGTTTCTTAAACGCTATCCTTTCAAGAGGCCAGACAGTAGCCAATTCTTAGATGATCCCTTGAAAACCCACCCTTGTTAGTATTGTGCTTGAGAAGAATGACTACAAAATCATACCCTAATGGAGGCATGAAAGTGTAGTGGGGGCGGATATTTGCAGCCCTAATTCCAGGTCCAATTTTGAGGTTTCTACGCCTCGACCAGGTGGCCAAGCCTTGTCCTTGATTTATATTAGCACCACCTAGGCCCCGGCTGCGCAAGCCTAACAGTCTTCTATGATACGCTCTTATCCTGCCCTTAATACTTCGTCCAACTGCGGTGCTGTGCAGTGTAGTGCTTTTCTAATGTTTGATGGGAGATATCATAGGTAAATTCTGGCTGGGCGGAGGGAAGCGCGATGTATTTTGGGCTATGTAGTGGAGCTTCACTTGCGGCCTAGGGTAGTGAATACTGATTCCCCCACAGTGCACCAGCTAGGACATAGCCCGTCAAGGCCACCATACCCCATGCCCACCCCCCGAATCCCACTTCAATTCATACACACCTACCGGGGCTCATCACCTAACCTAGGGAAAGGAAGATAAAGGAACTCGAGTGAACGCTCTGCAACCCTCGATGCACAATCACGAAAGGTGTATGTTTGGGCGTAACAGATCTGACGGTAGTTAGGGGTGGCCTAGGCCATCCGCCCGATTGCTAGTGTTCACGTTTTCTAGGATACATAGGGAGAGAGCGCGTAGATATCATTAGAGATGCCACATACTGTATGGTACGATCAGAGTTCCATCATGCCATAGTCACAGGAAAAAAAAAAAACTGATATCCGATGCCCACTACTAGCTGCGGTCATTCCGTAAGAATATGGCTCTGCACCGTACAGCGCAACACCCTTGACAAAATATGATATTCTAACCTACACAAACGGAATACAGCCAATACATCAGCTTTCCTTGACCACAGCACCGCGCCGTATCGTATTGTCTTGCATCGTATAATATAATACCTCTCTACTCGGCAACTCAACTCGACACAAATATCCATCCAATCCTTCCTCCCAAGTTAGGAGTGAAAAATGTGAGAAAGCGAGAAAACAAATAGGATATTTGAGAGAAAAGGTTGCACCTTCACACCGCCCATGTTCCACGATTCCTACAATAGCGATACTAAGATGAGAGAAATTAGGTTGAAAGGGGGAGAAGAAACCAAAGGGAAATGAGCACGAAAGAAATGGAGGACAAGAAAAAAAGAAAAGAAAAAAACTACAAATCCGAACCAAAGATACGCCAACCCCCTCTATCAGAAACGAAAATTTTCCCTAAAACCCGAATGCCTAAAAACCTGCGTTCCTTTTTTACACAACGCTAGCCCTCTAAATAAAAGGGGACAAACACGACCGCAGCAACGGCAACGAAGAGATTAGTATAAATGCCCCTCTGTCTAGATCCTCCTATCATGATCCCCCTGCTCCATCCCCCACATCCCCGTATCACCGCCAGTCCCACCGGGCGGAGCGTTCAGTAGTGCAGAAAGCATGTCCTCGCCAACAGGATCAAGCCCATCAAATCCAATACCACCCGGAGCCTGGAAACCCGCGGGTGCGAATCCCCAGTCGAAGGTGTCCACCCAGCTAGTGTCCATCTGTGCGGTAGCAACAGCACCGCCACCGGTGAGGTCACCACTTGGCCAATTCGGTGCGCTAAACTGCTGTTGTGGTGGTGGTGGTGGCGGAGTTGGGGTTGGCGCTTGGTGTAAACTAGGGACTTCCAGGGTCTGCGATTGCGATTGGGATTGCATGTCCGCAAAGTACCCCCTCGATGAGTGGACACTTGAGTTCGAGGCACGACGTGTGCCATCTTGCGGAGATAACATGCGTAATGCGTTTGTCGAGGCCGGACCTACGACCGTAGAAGCATGGGCCTCGAAGCGGGCTTTTGAGCGTTGGGCTATAGGCCAGCGTTCTGCGAGGTCGCTGAGGAGTGATGAGCAGGAATTAATATCTTCCATTAGCACCTCGTGCGTTGTGTGGGTTTGCACTTCGCAACAGTTCTTGTAGGCGAATAGCATCATTATTCCACTAACGAATATGGATTGCACAGTCAGCCAGGAATGCTGCAGCTCACTGTAGCGTTTTAACTTTGATTGTATACGGATTACCTCAACCGAGGAGGAGAAACAGTGCTGCAAGGCTGTTGCGGTAGGTTTCGGGAACACGGGAGAGGGCCTGAAGAGGAGTTGGACTGCCTCGTGATATTTGAGCTCGACCATTTGGCCGCTGCCTAAATGTGAGCCGCTGCTCCCCGACCCTCGCCGAACACCACCAAGCGAAAGCCTTACTTGATCCCGAAGTTCTGTCAGTTGCCGGTGTGTCGCCATCTGCCACTCCGGTAAATCCACCTGCCAGCGGCCAATATGGGGCTGTGAAACCCGGTAGATCGTAGTTCCAATACCACTGATAACCTTCATCATCCTAAAAAGGCAGATTGACCCCGAGAACGAGGCGCGGGCATTCTCGATGCTACCAGACATATTAGACCCCACCGGTAACGATGCCACATGGTGCAACTCGTCATCGTTATCCCCCTCCTCGGGAAAGTCCACGTCAAACGATTCGTCCCGCAGTGAGAACGGTCTACCCAGGGAAATCCCGAGATTCCTGTCTAAAGCATACGCACACCAAAATATCCTCTTCTTAATCCCGGCATGGTCTTGACCGCGATATGAGATGATCTTCCGTTGAAAACCTAGATCCACACAGGTTGCCATGATGACGGCATTCAGATACCAAAGGTTAAGTCCTTCCGATGCGTGCAGTGACCGCATAGCCAAAAGTAAGGCGCTCTGAACACCCGTCAGACTCCCAGTGATGCTAATATCATTGATTATCTGCATGGCACTCGCAAAATATCCTTCCGAATCTGACGCCATGCTCCGACTAGCTCTGCCCCGTCCCGAGAGGATATTGGCGCCAATGGACAACACCATGAATACATGGAAACGCGCAACTGTGGCCGTATACCCGGGCGGGAGGTGACGAACAACTCCGTTCTCGGCATGATAGGTGGCATCAAGGCAAGCATCGAATGTCTGGCGGTGCAGAAACGGATATTGTAAGGCTACCGTGGTAAAGTAGGTCGATGATAGGGTAACACACTCATCCGTATTTGGAAGCGCAGCGGGCTTAGAATCTAGCCCTGGCCAGGCCAAACTGGACTTGACGTCTCTATCCCCCTGATCGAATTCGGGCTGTCTCAACTCGCCGCTTGAAGCACCTTGGAAGACTAACCGGGCAAATGAAACACTCGAAGAGGATCCAACGTATTTTGGCTCCTCGAAGGCTGAAAGTGACAGCAACCCCACATCTTGAGACACTGGATCCTGGGGTTGAAACAGTGGACTGGAGGCAAGTAATGGGCTTGAGGGTGCCGAGCTAGGCGAAGGTGATGGACCATCGGAGAAGGTATACGGGCTCACGGGAGCTAGGTAATTGGGTGACGGGACAGGAGAAAAGTCGAAAGACGCCGGTGTCGCACACGTTGAGGCTGGAGACAGAGCGAATGAAGGGGACGAGGTCGAACTCATCGACGAAGGCGGGGGGTGAAAATCAGGCCCTGTGGTTACAATTCGAATGGCAGGAGGTGAAGGCCTTGATCTTAGCTCCACCGGTGGTCCTGCCTGTAGGTCCACATCGGGTGCCCGAGTACGAACGACATCTTCCAACCATTTGATCCTGTTTTCGAGCTCAAGTACATGACTAAATTTTTTAATCGAAGCAGTGGATTAATAACGACACATATCAGCCTTCAGATTCCATTTTCCCGCAAACACCTCGCTGGGGCATCAGAAACCCTGAGACACAATATAAAAGCATTTTTCTCACCTCCGTGGCATATTATTATCCCCGGTCCTATCCACCTCAATACAGTCGACTCCTGCCTTAACACAACTTTTACAAGCGGGCAAAGCTCCATCACAGCGGATTTTCCTGGTACGACAACGCTGGCAAGCTGTTACCGTCTTCTTCTTCGCAACAGCAACAGCACCAGGCACCGGCGTAGCAGCCGTTGGCGTCGATAGCGAAGAAGTGGAAGCAGAGCGAGACCGATTAAAATTTGGAGGCTTCCCCAGAGATTGTGAAGAAATAGATGGTTGCTGTTGTTGCGGAGCCCACCCCGCGCCGCTGCTAGCTCCGGTGCCCTGTGGAGGTGGAGTCCCCAAAAACCCACTCGAGTCTATCATGCTGCCACCGGGACCTCTGCTGCCCTCGTCTGGGAAACTCACCGAAGGGACAGATAGCGTTCGACGTTCTCTCTTCATCAATTGGAGGCTCGTCGCCTGCGTTTTCTTGACTTGTGCTGTTATCTTTTCGTTATCTTCCTTTTTTTTTGGAGGCTCGTTTCCTTTTTCTCTAGATAGTCCCCCTCCCACGATATGTGCGGTAGTACTGACGATAGACAAGTAAAAAGTGATGGACCAGACCAGACTTCGGTTCCAAGAAAAAAAACTTGAGCCTTTGTCTCCTCTGGACTGGACCTCTCCGCTGTCCCCTCTTCTTTCCTTTCTTTTTCTGTCCCCTTCTCTTGCCCTTGCACCCTTAATTCTCTAGCCTTGTCCTTCCTCTCACTTCTCCTTTTCTTCTCTGACCTCTTTCCTTTTCCCTCACCGATCCGATCTGATCTCCCTCCGTTGTCTTCCGCCTTGACCACGCGAACTTTTTTTTCCCGCTTTCTTTCTTTAACCCTTTGCTCGGTCGGGTATCCTTATGGGCCTAATAAGCATCCAGTATCCCGAGGTTACCGCCGTTTACTGGTTCAACTACAACGGTATCCAACAGCTCGGGAGTGGTCGAGGAAAGAATGATAGAGACGATAACAGTACTGATTCCCCGACAGAACTTCAAGCCCATGATAATTGCCGCAGCAAAAAGAGAAATGTGAAAGAGAAAGCCTAAAAAAGAAAAACACCAAAAGGACGGCAGTGGCGAACGGAAAATCAAAAAAGACGTAGAAGCGGGGGGCTGCCTTTGAACCGGGTTGGGTGCTGGTGGAAACAGATAAAAAGCGCCCAAGTAGGAAAATGAATGAAAAGGGAAGAAAAATAAATAAAATGCTCCTAAAACTGACACTGCCCAGCCGGGAAGATATCAGAAACGACTAGTAAAGGGAATTTCGTATGATATCGAAGGAGAAGGGCTGGAGACGATGGCCGGCGGAGATAGGTGAATGGATGGGAAGAGGAGGAGGCTACTTCGAGATCTCTCATCTACCAAGTCTACTTGAGCTTTGCGTTGACCATGTATCGAGAATAAAATTAAATAAATAAGTTAAGGGTAGAGGGCGAAAGAAAGGGAAAGGGAAAGATTAAGAGAGGCGGCTGTTTTTGGTAGGGGTGGAAGTGGGGGGAGGGAGGGGAATGGATGGTAAGTAGGGTGATGAGAGTGATGAGATTGAGGAACTGCTACGGTAGCAAGCAAGATGTACCGTGTTCGACCTTTGACGTTAGCAACACTCCTCCGATCCGGGCGGGGCGGCTTCGAGCTCGATGCCGGTACGGTGTGATGGTCGCGCGGCACTTGGCAGGTTAGCAGGGCATGAATATGGGCACCAACCCCTCAACCATCCAAATCCCAACAGCCCAAAGCAACAGCTGGGTATTGGAAGAAAGGAAGGTGGAATTGACGGCAGGCAGGAGAGTGGGAGAGTGGGAGAGAGCTATCAATGACTGCCCGTAGGATGCAGTGGAGTGGAGAGTGTGGGATCGGCAAAGGGGGAGTGGGTTTTCCGGTAGTGGGGAGAAAGGTAGACAAAGGGAGCAAAGCCCGGGGACAGAGGCTCTAGAAAATCGCGGGAGTGCCAACAACGAAAAGCGGTACCGGTACTATATAGGAGCAGCACTGATGATGATGATATTGTGCAAAGAAAGGGGGGGGGAGCGCGAGAGGTGAAATTGGCCATCGATAGCAATTCTCTTGGTTCCTTGCGGTATTCTATGATTGACAAGATCATACATACTCCTCCTCCTCCACCTCTCTCTCCGGGGCCCATGAGGCTACGGGGGCTGTGCTATCATACCGGTACTGATTCGATCAGATGCAGCTCTGGCATCAGAGGGCCGCCAACGCTCGGAACGTTTGGAATTACCCATCCTTTGACTATCAAACATAGATTCTGATCCTCATTCTATACGGTACACATACTGTACCGGTATTTCGCTGACCTGCATATGATACCAATCCCTCTTTCCACCCTCCCTCGATCCTCCGCCCGGCCAACTGCCCTCTCACCTGCATCCTCGGATTCCGCATCCAAAACCTTCACAAGACATGGCGATGAAGGCGGGCTGTGCAGTGATGCGTACCGTAGAGTACAAGTATAGTACTACGGTATGCTCGAGCGTGATACACGGCAGACCGAGCGAGAAAGCGACTTGGACCGAAAGCTTAATCAAGGCCCTCGCTCGTTTGTCCCATCCCCCCCTTTGCGGCTCTCGGAAACGGAAAGGAAACAAAGAATCCGCCCTGCGGCAACAAGCGATGACGTTGTGGGACCCTAACTAAATTTAAAAGCACTAACGAAGGGTAAGGTGCACATAATCACCAACCACGAGGGGAGCTTGTATTCGAGGCTCCGTGGCCCGTTCTGTGTTGACCGCGGCTTGTAGCCATCGTATTTCGGAATTCGATGAGGTGAGCTTCGAGGAATGCGCCCCAAGTTGCCCTGCCTGTTATAAAAGACCTATTTCCATATGTCCAATCTGGCGAGGGGATTCCACCCCTTGGATACACAGACCATAGCCGCTGCGCCTCGATCAACATCATCACCACCATCCTCATATCGTAAAGTCTTCTTCCACGCCTTCCCTTCTTCCTCATTCCTCCGCTCCCCCACCCTTTCTCTCTCCCTCCTGAGCATGGCCTGATAGCGTGCAAACGGAGTGCGGTATTCGGGGAGTGGACCGGCACGGCACACGGTATACCGGTACACTACCGGTATACATATCCACAAAGAGGCTTGTGGTCGTCGTGTCGAGCGGAAAGCCCGTGGATCACCTCCGCCTGCCTCCAACTGCAACGAGAGCGCCGAAACGGAGGGGCACAATGAGTAACGTGTTCTACTGCAACGAAAGATAGAGAAAAGTGGGCTCTGCCGAAATCCTCCATGTGAAGCACCACCCCTCTCGAACCATCGAAGGATCGTACACCATGTTTTTACAGGCACGATATTTTGCCCTTCGCTACAGTACGGTATTCGAGTACCGGTACCGTAGAGCATCGTACCCGAGCACCTGCGCTCAGGTACCGTGCGGTACAGTACATTAGACAGAAGAAGAAGAAGCAAGGGTAGCTCTGGCTATTAGGTACCCGTACAATACATTCCCACAAAAGAATGCGCCAATTCCGGGCCGAGATCCCCTCGTCACGCGGTTGGATTGGCGGTGAGGGAGGGCAATTGATACACTCCAAGTGTCGAGCTCGATTGCAGAGCTTGATGAGTGAGGAAGGGCGCTTTCGATCTTCCGTCCATCAATGGTTGCTGTCCGGTTCTTGGCATGTGGTTCACGCTCAAACCCAACCACCCACCCATTCATCCCCCACCAAAATAATCCCTGTCTCCTGCAATGCAACGGAGGTCATTCCGCTGAACGCTAACCCCAATATGGCCTGTTCCCAGCATCCAGTCGGTCCATTCTCGGCTATGGAGGTTGGTGGTGGAACGGATGAGGGTCTACGCCATGGAACCCAACCCCGCCAGAGGCGAAAGATAACTTGATCTGGTAGGAGTGGTGCTGGGAGGGATGGGAAGCTTTGGTATTTTGAACCCATGTCCGTCTCATCACTAAATTAACCTCCATACCCGAATTCACCAGATTTCTCAGTGAAGGAATTGCCCGGTACGCATTGCTTGATTGGAGAGTGAAGATAGAAAGCACTCTGATGCGCTCACTACAAATACCGTACAGTACTAGCACATTCTGCGCTCCACCCCACTCTGCTCTACTCGAGTACCGGTATTGTTACCCGTGCAGGTAGGGTTACGGCATCGTACGAGCACTTGTTTTTTTATGCTGCTTCACGCCTGATCATGCACCGCCGCAGGTAACTTTGTAAGAAATTTTATGGTACTGTCGTACCGCAGACCGTATAGTGCCGGCACTTGCACGAGTAGGTAGATAGATATAATAAGGGATTCGGAGGAAGAAGGGTCACGCAATTCCTCACCAAGGCCCGCTATACATTTGCTCTTCCACTCGTACTCGAGTACGGTGCTACCATAAGCACGCATCCGCCATGCTTCGGCTTAACATCGGCAGAGCGACAACCGCTCGCACCCGGCGCACCGTAGGGCCCACAACTATCCCCAGCCAAGCGAACCGAAGCCTGCGGCGAAGTGCATTGGAGCCTGGGAGGCGGGAGAGCGGAGGAAGCCCCCCCCGCTGTTTATCCATCTGTCTCCTGATCCGATGCGCAATGTCATTGGCACGCACCATAATTGCGCAAGAATTTTCCCTTCCCGGTGCTTCAACATTCCTTCTAGCCAACCCTAACCCTATCGATCGTCACTGCGCCCCATTGTGGTAATTTCCCTTGCAAAGATACGGTACAGCATTAGCACTTGCGCGTTTCCTGCCCACTCCACTACCACCCCATTTGAGGGTATTAATAATATCTCAACCTTGGCTCTTTGTGCATTATTTAGTCGTCCATCCCGCTCGTATGCGAAGGGGGGCTTGGGACGGGGGAGGTGTGTGAAATGAGGAACCCGCTGCGTTGGGAATACGCCTGAGGAGGGCCACCGACTGGCCCGACCTGGCTGCGGAGGGAGCTGCCTACATGAAATGCTGTGACCATATGCCCGGGCCCCGCGCTTGTGCTACATTTTATTCGCTCATTCCGGGGAGATGAGGTGGCACGAGTGGGAAGGCCTGGATGAGATGGGATGAAAGGGGATGGGGGCGGGACGGAGTGAGACGATGGGGGGCGCTCGGAGATGTTTTATACAGTATGGTAAAAATGGGGTAATCTCGACTTCCATGCTCGACTTCCATGATACGGTGGAGCCCCAGGGAGAGCCTTAGAGCCGTGTTGCGCCTGTGCGAGAGGGGGCCGAGGCCTTCTAGAAGGGAAGGCTTAAGGCATGTACCGGTATTAGGCAGATGAGCTTGCGGTAGGGGGGCTGAAGGAGGTGGAGAGGACAAGGAAAAGAAAGTTTACCGTAGGAAAGGAGAGGGAGAAGTAAATAAGTAAAGTGCGGGGTTGATTGACGGATAAGTAAATTGAACACGGGGGTAAGGAAGCGGAAATGTTCGAGAGCTTCTACCATTGAAGGGCACGGTATGATACTGTAGGTTGAATGGTGAGGCTCTTCAGATGAGGTTACTCATGCTCTGCACCTTATGTGCTGCAGGTGCTTATGAGCCTCATTCTTGATCGACTCATAGCCCACTCAGGCGGATCAAGGAGAATATGGGGGAAGCGACAGCAGGGTGCCGCTGCCGGTAAGTGCATACCGTATTGGCTCCCGTATCTGATGCATGCTGATATCTAACTCGTCATTCGTGTTCCCCGGCGTCGGAGCTGAAAGGGTAAATTTCCCACTTTCTCATGCGTTCGTCACACGGCTGGATCATGATATTTGTGGTGCTGGGCATCTGATAAGATTTTTGCTCCTTTCGAGCCCTTCCCCTCCCGAGTCCCCTAGGCGGCGGCGTATTTTAGCAATCCCTATCGCCATAGGGCAGTGCTGGGTGGAAGCATACCTTTTTGGAGAAGGGTGTGGACTTTGTAGCTCGCACGATTCGTACCCGGCGGGTCAGTCATGATCGTCATGACCTAGGCACCTGCACCGCCGGGGGCAAACTTGGGTCCTATCCAGCTGATCGGGAATCGGCGTTCTGGATTTTTGGGAGCAACGCGTAACCATCAACCTGCCTTACCCGTGGCAAGCTGGCCAGGTGCGAGAGCCGCGGGTTTCGGATGGTGGCGAAGCACAGTTACGTCCAATGTTTTTTTGCTACGGTATGATACCGGTACAGTAATGCTATGCGATGGTAGAAGGGATTCATGCGTTTTCAGGCGATCAATGGAACGGCTTGAAGGGCTCTACAAAACCGTTGGAACGTATGGTGCTCTCCCGGCACTGTAGTCTACGCACTAGGGTGCCCTAGGTGCTAGACTTGCGGTTGGAACTCCTTTGATATGGTGTAATGGGCGAAGGGGGTATGTACGAGTACTAGTACAGTCACTGTACCGGTACCGGTACCGTAGTCCCGCTTGCTACAGGGTGGCTGGCGTATGAACCGCGGTACTCGAGCATCATACCCGGTTCCGGCGTTCGTACTTGGGCGACAATTGGTTGCTGTGCCTACTTGCAGGGGGGCGAGCATAGGGCAGTCAAGGTGAACACGAATATTACCGTCCGAAAATGGGAGTCTGCGGCAATCCGATTGGTTGGGTATTGGGGCTTTTTTTTTGGATGTTGGGGGGTCAGGCGAGTCTTCCGCGATGGTGCTCTAGCCACGGCGGCTTTGCTGTATCACAGGTGAAAGTCTGGCGAACGTGGCCCACGGAATTTGAATGTGATTAGCAGCCAAGACTTTGCCAGACTTTCCCCTGCCCCCACCCCGGAGTGTTGTAGTTGATGGGTAACTTAAGCGCTGGATTGTACATTTTGGTGAAAGGGATACGGCAGGGTACGGCGTTTAGCGACGCTGATATGCTCCGTAGGAATCTGCCCCGGTCAGAGTATCAGATCTTGGGGGCGTATCCTGGGTACCGGTAACTTGTTTTGAAAGATTTCCCCTTCCGGGGGTTTTTTTTTCTTCTTCCTCTTGTCGCCTCCCCTATCAGCTCTTTTATTTCCATTAGGGGGGGGGGGCTCCGCCTGAGGATGATAGCGCCACACTATAAGTACTGTATCTTACTCGAGTATTTGCGTGTCGTAGGTGCTGCTCAATGCTGAAATTCGCTCCGGGTTGGTGCCTGCGCAATTAACGGCTGCCGGAAGCGTAGGAGGGGACTCTGCTTGTATCATACTCGTACTCGTGGAGTGGCTCTCCTTGCAGCTTGCGGCACTGCGGTTTGTTGAGTAACCCGTTGTGGGGGTCGTTACCAGCTGAATCGGGATATGGTGAAACCGAAGGACGAGGGAACGCGAAGCCTGACCGAAAAATGACCTCGAGGGATGGATCACTGGGCCTTGGCCATACCGGTACGGGAGAATTGGTGGAGAGCATCACGCATCACGGACGAATATGTGAACAAGCTCCGAAACTGCTGCTCCCCTCACCCACCCACCCACACCTCTCCCATTATGCTTTGCCTTCATCCTCCGCCTACCGTACTAGTACGAGTACTCGAGTACACCGTGCCGCTCGTATCAGTACTATGTACAAATATTGTATATGTATCCTGAGCCCGATCTACCGTACTCGAATGGTACCGATGACGCGACATGGAGCGTATCGCCCCTCAACTTCGGGGGCTTTCGCGGGGCGGAGGCGGTTGCGAACAGGATTTGTTCGCAGAAAATCGGGGCGGTGGCACTCCCCAGAGGAGAGGGGTCTGTTGAAATTGCAGGCTTGGGAGAGGTGCGGGATTGATCTACCGGCACGGTACAGTACTCGAGTACAGTGCTGGTAGTCGCTTCTTACTAGTACTGTACGAGTACAGTACTCGAGTACTCTCTTGTTCGTCGGGGGGGTGGGGGGAGCCAAGACGAGGCCCGACGGCGGTCGCTCCGCTCGCTGCAAGGTAAATTTATCATAATATTAGTGTGAAAAATTAACTCTCGTCCCCGACCTCCATGATATTATGATACAATGTCTCATACCGGTAATCTACATTGTCACCCTGTGTTTATTATTACCCGTAACCCATATATGTATCTCGGCAGACATGTGCATCACCAGTGGGTTTAGGCAGTGGCCGGCTTCATCCCCGTGAAAAAAAAAGAAAACGAGTTCTGGCAGGCGTGGTGGTGGTATTTGGGTGCGGAATTTTTTTTGATCTCCTCCTCCGTTCTTGAGCTTCCTTTTGGGGTCGATTGCTACCTGTAGACCAATGCCTGGAAATGCACTCAGTTGCGAACACGGATAGCAGCACCCGTAGGGGCTTTTTGTGTGCGCAGTCAAACGGTACGAGTGCTCGTAACTTAATTGCTCAGGGAGCGGGAGGAACAAGGAAGGCGGCACGTCTCCCATTCCATTCCCGTGCCCCCCCAGCTTTCGCCATCGTCCGCATCTCCAACCCATCCCCCGACTCGCCCTTCCGCTACGATACCCACAGAACATTACGAGTATCTCTGGTCCGTCGATCAACCAGTTTCCCTGCTGTGGAATGCTGATAACCCGGACTCCAATACCGGTATTATTCCTACCCTATCTGGGCTAAGGGACCCATTGGACAGGCAGAGTCCGTAGCGCTAGCCCACTCTTTGGCGGTGGGGTGTGTGTGATTTCAGGTGTCCTGCCTGCTCCTGCTACATTGCCGCACACGGGGCAAAAAAGGAGGGTGGAACCGCCACACCAATTTCTTTTTTCGATACGGTATGTTATAATACAGAGCGGCATCCTTTTAACCTCTCCTACCCGTTCATTTAATTTTCGACGCTATTCAGATTTTCGAATATCGAGGACCAGGCCAAACTACTCCTTTCTTTCCCTCCCATCACCCCGTGTCCCCCTTTCTCTTGCGATACGGGCACCACAACACGTCTGCCGGAATCGGTTATACAATGCCTCTACAAGCTCCCCCGATATTTGTCACTACAGTGAGTCGACTTCCCCCACGGCTTTTGTGCCCTTCCGTCCTGCTTTGTTTGTTCCCATCTTCCCTTGTGGGACAACGAGGCTAACTATTTACATTCGACATAAGTCTTTCGACGAGAATGAGACACAGCCGGGGACGCTTTCCCCTATATCACCCTCGACATCGGGCTATCGCCGCAATTCTGACGCGGTAGCCCCTAGGACGCCAACAGGGGATCAGATAACATTTCTTGGGGTCGACGGCGGCGCTCGTTCTAGGTCGTCCTCGCTCGGCGATTCTTCCATGCTTTCCGGTGATACGGCTCTACCGGATCACCCTTACAATGGGATAGACTTGGTTTCCGTGAGTGAGGCGCTGAATCCGGACCCGGGCACCGAAGCCGATTTCAGGGTTCAAGGGACAAACCCTTTTGCATTTACTGCGGGCCAGCTGAATAAATTCCTGAACCCAAAGTCCCTTGCAGCGTATAAGGCTGTTGGTGGAGTACGAGGGCTGGAGAGGGGATTACGGACGGATTTGGTTGCTGGGCTGAGCGTGGACGAGGTCACATTGGAGGGCGTAGTGCCCTTCGAGGAGGCAGCAACGCTTAAGAAGAGGGGTACCCTTGGAAGCGAGAGTACTGCTACCACGGATTCTGCGGCTGATGACTACACGGCGGCAAAAATCGGCACGGCCGCTAGGAATAGTGCTACGATGGAACGTCAGTTTGAGGACCGCAAGAGGATTTTTAAGGATAATACCTTACCCGCGAAGGGTGCCAAGAGCATTTGGAGGCTTATGTGGGAGCAGTACCAGGACAAGATTCTGATTCTGTTGACTGTTGCCGCCGTAGTCTCGCTGGCTTTGGGCTTGTATGAAACACTTGGTGTCAAGCACCCGCCTGGCTCACCACCCTCGGTCGACTGGGTGGAGGGGGTTGCTATTGTTGTGGCAATTGTGATCGTGGTCCTGGTTGGATCCTTGAATGATTTCCAGAAGGAGCGTCAGTTTGTGAAACTTAACACAAAGGTGTGCTTTCCTTTTTTCCTTTTTTTTTCTTTTTTCTTTTCCCGCCCCGTGCCGCTATGATCTAATAATAGCTTTGTGCGATGCAGAAAGAGGATCGGGTCGTTAAGGCTATTCGGTCTGGGAAATCGGTTCAAATTTCGGTTCACAATATTATGGTTGGCGATGTATTGCACATGGAACCTGGCGATATGATTCCTGCCGATGGTGTTTTCATTACTGGTCATAACATGAAGTGCGACGAATCCAGTGCTACCGGTGAAAGCGACCAAATGAAGAAGACTCCCGGCGAAGAGGTTATGAGACAAATTGAGGCTGGAACCGCATCTTCCAAGTTGGATCCTTTCATCATTTCCGGTTCAAAGGTCCTGGAGGGTGTTGGCACTTATGTGGTTACCTCTGTTGGCGTCAATTCCAGTTTCGGCAAGATCATGATGGCTCTTAGGCACGAGGCTGAAGCCACCCCTCTTCAGGTCAAGCTTACCGGACTGGCTGATAATATTGCCTATCTTGGCGGAGGGTCTGCTTCCCATTTCCAGGCATTTTGCGTGCGAGTGAGATTTCGTGCTGACATTCTGCTCTTTTAGTGCTGCTTGTCTTTTGTTCTTTGTGCTGTTCATAAAATTTCTGGCTCATCTCCCCGACAACAATGGTACCGCTGCTGAGAAAGGATCCGAGTTTTTGGACATTCTTATAGTTGCTATTACGCTTATAGTTGTCGCTGTCCCCGAGGGTCTCCCTTTGGCCGTCACCCTAGCCCTCGCTTTTGCCACTACCCGCATGTTGAAAGAGAACAACCTTGTTCGTGTGCTTAGGGCTTGCGAGACCATGGGAAATGCAACCACTATCTGTTCCGATAAGACCGGTACCCTCACACAGAATAAGATGACTGTCGTTGCTGGCACTATTGGATTGGACTCTAAGTTTAGTGCTCAGATGGAAGACGCTAGGGATGGGGGGGTTTCTAGCATCCCCGGGGTTGTTTCTACATTCTCCAAGTGGACCAAAGATCTCCTCCTCCAGTCAATCGTTGTCAACTCGACCGCTTTTGAAGGTGAGGAGGATGGTGTTTTCGCTTTCATCGGATCCAAGACCGAAACCGCTCTCTTGACCTTTGCCCGTGACTTCCTAGGTATGCAGGGCGTTGCGCAGGAACGCGCCAATGCTCAGATCGTCCAGCTCATTCCTTTCGATTCGGCTCGCAAATGCATGGGTGTTGTCGTTCGTCTCCCGGATGGCGTTTACAGACTTTACGTCAAGGGCGCTTCCGAGATTCTTTTGAGTAAGGCTACTAGATATATCTCGGACGTTAGCAACGAGGGGCCCAGCGACAACGAGCTCACTTACGAGAGCGTCAAGTTTCTCACCGACACCATCAACTTTTATGCTGAACGCTCTCTGAGGACCATTGGAATATTGTACAAGGACTACTCCCAGTGGCCACCAATTGGCGCAAAGGTTATGGAGGATGACGCTTCGATGGCTAGCTTTGACGACGTCTTCAACGAAATGATCTTGATCGGTATCGTTGGTATTCAGGACCCACTTCGTCCTGGTGTCTCTGAAGCCGTCAAACAGTGCCAGGGTGCCGGTGTCATCGTCCGAATGGTTACGGGTGATAATGTGGTCACCGCTCAGGCTATTGCCGCAGAATGCGGGATTTTCACTCAAGGCGGTATCATTATGGAGGGACCCAACTTCCGCAAGTTGACGGAGGCAGAGATGGACAATGTTCTCCCTAGACTCCAGGTTTTGGCTAGAAGCTCGCCCGAAGACAAGCGTATCTTGGTTCGCCGTCTTAAGGAACTCGGCGAGACTGTTGCCGTGACTGGAGACGGTACTAACGACGGGCCAGCTCTTAAGATGGCGGATATCGGATTTAGTATGGGGATTGCGGGAACCGAAGTCGCCAAGGAGGCCTCCTCCATCATTCTCATGGACGATAACTTTTCTTCTATTGTGAAGGCTATGATGTGGGGCCGTGCTGTCAATGATGCCGTTCGCAAGTTTCTCCAGTTCCAGCTCACCGTCAACATCACTGCTGTCCTCCTCACCTTTGTCTCTGCCGTTTCTTCCGCCGATGGATCATCGGTTCTCACCGCGGTGCAGCTTCTCTGGGTCAATTTGATTATGGACACCTTTGCCGCTTTGGCCCTCGCCACTGACGCCCCTACGCCCCAGATCCTGAACCGCAAGCCAACCCCCAAGGCCGCCAGTCTCATCTCGCTGAATATGTGGAAGATGATTATCGGACAGGCAATCTTCCAACTCCTTGTTACTTACACCCTCTACTTTGGCGGCATGACGATCCTTGGCTACTCCACTGAGGATGACGCGGTGTTAAAGGCCGCGGGGAAAGCCACCCCAAGGGACGAGTTGAACACAATGGTCTTTAATACGTTCGTGTGGATGCAGATCTTCAACGAGTTCAAGTGAGTGATATTCCATCATTAACAAATCCCCTTCCCCTCAGAGTGCTGACTGATGGCGCAACAGCAACCGTCGCCTGGACAACAAGTTCAACATCTTCGAGAATGTGCATAAGAACTACTTTTTCATCGTCATCAACGCAATCATGATCGGTGGCCAAGTACTCATCATCTTCGTCGGGGGAAAGGCCTTCTCCATTGTCCACATCGACGGCGTCCAATGGGCCATTTGTGTGGTCGTCGCTTCCTTTGCCCTTCCCTGGGCAATCATTGTCCGTTGTGTACCAGACGAATTCGTCCGCAAGCACTGGTACAAACTGGTGCACGTGTTCTCCCCGCTGGTCAGGGCTGTTGCAAGGCTCATCCCAAAGAGGAATATGGGGGCTGATTACCAGAGTGATGAGGAGAAGGGCAAGGCCAGCGAAGCCTAGCCTTGAAGGGGAGATGGGTGATGGGTTTGAATAATGACATTTCCTTTTAACTTTTATTTGTTTCGTCGACTCTGGGCTTATGTTCCCCCCTTGCCTGCAGGGGCGGCAGCGGCGGGTGCTTGATTTCCCACCCTTACTATAACGCGAGTGGAGCGATTCGGAACCGAGTCTTCCCGTACACATCCGCTCACCCGCGGACGAAAGAAGTTTCACTGCGCTTTTCGTCCCGCCCGAAACAAGGGAACCTTCTCCCCCCCCCCGCTTTCGACGAACCTTCTCATCCCTCCTTTACCAAACTATTATTACGTTACCTTATTTGCCTCGCATCTGTATATATATCCGTGGAATCTGGCGTCCTTTTTTTTTTTTGTTTAGCATCTGTGATACCGCTCATTACCTATTAGTCTTAATTTCTTCTTTCTGGGGTTTTCTACGACCGTCTCGTCTCGCCTCGCCTGGTTATGCATTCCCTTCTCAGGTATGTCCAATTAGATTTTTCTTGCTATTTTTCATATTGTCTTGTCTTTTTCGCTTCCGGGACCGGGGTTGGGGCTGGGATTTACGAACTACACATAAGTATATAGGTTTTCGAAATAATAGAATTCAGTGCGATCTGACAAGCAGAAGAAAAGTGTTCGTCTTGTGAATGAGTGGGGGGGGGGGGTCGTGAGTTTGCCGATATGAACGTGCTTCCGATATTTTAACCATATCCTACTGTGGGATGGCGCCGGGTATGCTGCCGTTCGTCCCCTTTCCGCCCAATGAACGTGGTAGTCTAGCAACTAGCTCGCGCTATCCCAACCACGTCCTGTCTCCACATCTGCATTCACTCGCCCCTGGCCCCGTCACAGCGCTTACCAGAGCCTCTACGCTACCCCAACCGGAAGATGTCAGGATCGCTAGAATGCATACAGCGCATCTATAGCACATGCCCCACCCAACCTCGACAAATGCAAAGTGGCGGAATGGAGTATGGCCGTGTGGTTGGGAGGACTGGCAACTACAATACTTCGGATCCTAAATATCCGTCTATGCCAACGATGGTTTCTGGGGAGATGGTATAGCAATTGGGGTGCTGGGGATAAGCTAGCACGGTACTCTACGATTCATTCGTGTTGACAGTGTTGCTTGCTATACTATAACGTGCGGGTTAGTTTTGGAATGGCTGGCAACTACGTTAATTAAACCGAACCTACATGCGAAATTATTAACTTCTACACTCACTTACTCCGGGAAATCCTTTATGAAACGGAATTTCTCCCCGACAGAGGTTGCGCAATTGGGGTCAGAACGGGGGGGCCCTATTACACTGACAAGAGGAATGACGCTCCACGGGGCTCTTGCCGAGTGGCTGTGATGGACAGTACTGTCGGGCTACTCCCCGATGGGATATGTTATTTGTCTTTGCGGAGGTGGTGGGTGATAGTTCAAGTCAGTGGATTAATCATCAAAATTGACGGACTGGTATCATACTTGTATCGTAGCATTACTGCGGCGGCGATTCGGGTGCGTCTAGTAGATTATGAGTACTGGACGCGGAGTAGGTTCTTGCGCCGGGAGGCTAACTTACCGGTTGGATCAAGATGAGTGGGGATGGGGGGAGTGCTGTGAGATTTCCGATAAGTTTCAGCGCGTGAATTTTCTGCTCCGCGGGGGCGTGGAGTTGCGCTATCATATCTGGGAAGCCGCCGTAGTTGGCGGTGCAATAGTAGTGGAGCAATGAGGTCGGTTGATAAAGCTGGCTGTGACGGCTTGCGTACTGCACTTCTGGGCTTCCCGGCTGTATTGGAAGTTGCGGTATTTGGAGGTAGCTATATGGGATGCTTGTAATTGGATTACTATTGTTTCCACTGCTGGTGTTTATGAGATTCGTTACTTTTACTGCCGCAGCTGTTACGCTATCGTGTGCGGGTCTGTCTTGATTTCCCTTTCTTGGGGAGGTTGGACGGCTAAGCGCGGGGAAATAGGACGAAACCGCTGAATAGTGGAGCTTTGGTTACCGGAAGGGAGGTGTTGTTGATCATGTTATCTCACTCGTTGCTGCATTTGAGTGCGGTGCCTTGCGGACTCCTGGGGAAGTGGGAAGGGATTGTTTAGAATCACCGGTCTCATCTGGGGAGCTCACTACATCTATGTGGTACATTAAGTCTAGACAGCCATGAAAGGAGTGGATTAGTCGAGGACTTCAATTATAGAACTATATCTTGTTAGGAAAACGGCCAACCAACTAACCACCAACCAACAATCGTTCCTGCCATCTAGAAGCCAACAACCACCAACCCCCCACAACAGCCCAGTAACCCAAAGTTCCGCGGGGAACCTACCCCCGCCACTACCTGCGCTGTGCGACCGGTCTGGGCTGTCCAGCTCATCCCGCGACCCCTCCTTCGCCGCCCCCGCGACGTTGTGCTCTCCCCTCACCGTCTCCACGGAAACCTTGCGGTAGTCACAATCGCTATCCTGGTAATCCCATATACAGGAGTAACCACAACCGAACAATCTTTCACCCCAAGTGTCGACCCGGCACACCCAGTCCTGCAAGAATAGGTGACAGTTGTTAAAATAGGGATAGATAGGACATGTGTACTCCCCAACGTCTCTAAAACTGGCGGAATCCGCTCCCCCTTTCCATCCATTCCCAGAGCTAATGGGAGGTCTTCCGCTGTGGCTCCAGGCGGCACAACCCTGTTAATTGAACAGACGCCCCGAAGGTGGCATAATGAGTGGGAGTGCTTCCTCACTGGTTTTACCTATTATCCTTCGTTAGTACTCTTCCACTTCGAGCGGAAGAGCCGGGGAGGGGGGAGGATATGACAGTGGCGGGAGTTGAGGATGCAGCTGGAGAACCCTAGTAGGAAGCTCTTGTCTCGGTAGTCGCAGGGCAGTACCGCCCCCCCCTTGTTGGGTCCCCATGGTCGATGCAGGCGGAGGCGGCCATTCAGGCTTGGTAGCAGAGGGATCTACAATATTCACTTATAATGGGGGTGGAGTCCCCTGAAGGTTCAGGATCTGGTACTTTACCGCGTGCGGTTGGTAGCGGGTGGAGTGAGCTTAGGGTGAGGGAGAGGAGTATGAGTGAGAGTGGGGCATTGTGTCTGGAGAGAATTGCTGAATAGCTTTGACCTTGAAATTGTGGGGGATAGATCAGGTTGCGCTTGTTGCAGACACAAGGAGGAATGGGGCTGCAGAGAGATTTAGGAATCTCGTGGTATAAGGGCTGGAGTGCGTTTTCCTTCGTCCCCTAAATTCTCAAATAAGGGCTTTGGATTATCCTGCGGTTTTCATGACTGGTATCAGGGTTTCGTGCAATCTGGGAAAAGTGGGGGTTCGGATGACGGCGAAGATCAGATATCTCGAGCCATGGTAGCATCCTAGCATTATATCCTACTAGGGTTTAAACCTTAATAGAATTAATTCAAGCATAACGAAGAGCCGATTTGATTGGTTGGTATGGTGATCACTTAGAGGAAATCTATATACTTTGAATCTTCCACTTTAGTTCCGGACATTGGACAAGTGTTAACATGGGTCCTCCGCCAATAGAAATTGGTGAATGGCCTCGGGTTTTATCCCGCCAAGTGGGTGGTGGAGGAGCAATAAAGTGGCGGACAAAAGGCAGCCCTAGTCTAGATACTGAGGAGGTGAATATATCGTATCATATCATACGTTCTAAATAGCGTTCTCTTGACCCTAACATATTCTTAGCCTTACACCACCCCGCGAGGGGGGGGGCTATCTGAAACCCGAAACCTTGTTGCGGAAATCTCGAGTATGGTACCATATTATGATATAAGTAAAGGAGCATCTTAAGCTAGCAATAATTATTGTGTTTTAAGCCAGAGCATAGGGAGCTACTCTGGTAGCTATTAACACGGAAACTTCCCCATTCACATCTCAGAAGACGGACCCGAGGTGACCTCGAGGGTGCAGGGATGCTATTGACGGGAGGCCACCTCTATTTCTGCATTGCTGCACCTGGGTTGGGATTGGCTTGGTTTCGGTAAATATTGGGGGTACGATTGCATGACTGCCATACTGGGTAGCTTACGAGAGCTGTTTCTTTTTATCATTTTCAGGTATGATATGTTGGGGTTTGCACATTTCCTTGCTAGTGGTGTCTGGTTTTGCTATGCATGGCCGCATGCTACCCGCCACCCGTATCCTGAAGGATGTTGGATGTGGGAGGCGGATGGAAAGTGATGATGATGGATTTCCCAACTATGACTGAAGCTATATCTAAGGGAAATACATGACTGCCGAGCCTCCTCTCATGTTCCTTTATCACCCAATCCCTATGCACCCATATATGAGGGTATCCGCTTGTGCTACCTGCTATCATAGCACAAGAGATGTGCTTCGAAATTTAATTTTTAATTTTTTTTTGGCAGAATCTCGTTGTTCCAAGAGAAGCGCTACTATCCTCCCCCCGGTACCCCTTCTCGCCGTCCGATGGGGGCAATGTTGCTCTAATTGAAAAGGTGAGATTAGCTTTGCAGCTTTGCAACTTCTGGACCGCACTCTCCAGTATATAATGATACATATATCGTGTTTCCTTATCGGATTGTGGTTTACTTTGAGATTTTAAAAGCACCCACCCGTCATCTCCATTCGTGTAAGGGGTGTAGATTTTATAATACACTTCCGCTGTAGTATTACACCATAATCTATTGCGTAACTCACGAGCTACTGTATAAATATTTGGGGCCTGTAGTAGCAGTTAGAAAGTAGTGTAGAGTCAAAACTTGTTACAATGCGGTGCATGGTTCATTTGGAGAAGAAGAGTTGATGACTCTAGGAATTGCCGCAAAAATCTCCTATTGCAGTAGCATCCCCCTCTCTCGGTGAATATTCCAGATGTAGATTGTAATCTATTGCAGGATACGCTGCGTAGCGTCTAGACTCGTACTCGTACATTCGCATCCCAGCCACAGACAAACTGATATCCCCCCTCCGGTTTGCCCCGTAAGCCACCCGCAAGCCAGGTTTTGACCACATCCCCCATCCCGAGGGATCTCATACCGGCAGGGGCACAATCGTTGCGGGATAACTCGCTACCGCGTGTTATACCTTACTAGGGAGGTCTTTCCGGTGGAAATATAGTGCGCAAGGCCGCACAGGAGATCTCTCGCACCCCCTAGAAAAATATTCCTAAGTGGTAACTAAGAGTGACACTCCGTGAATTCTAAGGAATTCTACCGAAGATGTTCAGCCTCCTTCAATTAATCAATAGGACTCCCGATGCAGGGCACAGTACTCGTACCCCATGTTGGCACTTATCTCACTTGAGAACACACCCTTTCCCCGTGAGACCTTTGGAAAATATCTGCCTGTTTAGTACTGTACACAGTCGCACCTGGCTATAGTAAACGCAAAAAAAGCTGCCCAGTATGGGAATTAGCTAATAGCAAGGCCAGAAAGATAGCTAAAACACCAATCACAGTCTTTCCCTGCACTTCCCATTCACTATCCAGGTGAAACTCTAGCTTACATACCACTCGGGCGCCCTAGGGCTCGCCCGGGCTGATCTCCGTCGCCGCATGGGTTCCCCGACGCAAGTGTAACCGGGGACGAACCCGCAAACACACGACCCTAGCAAGGCGGGCGGGAGTAAGGGAAAGAATTACACCAAAAAAACTCCCGAGAGTCATACAAAAAAACGCGTGCTGCACTACCGGTACGGCATAATAATCACCGCTTCGGTTCTGTATGGGGTACCGTAGGAATCCTTTTAACTCCGCCATCTGAGATCTCAGAGGAAATTACTATCTAAAAGAAAAAAAACCTAATAGGCTTAGAAGAGTAGGTTAATAAGATTACCAGTACTCGAGTACCGGTAAGTGAGATTCGTGAGCTCAGGCTTCTCGAGCTATACTTCGTCTGGAAGAGAACTATTCCTTCTCGGGGTGTTTTGTCTCTGGTTGGGGAGATCCGAGGCCGGTGGCTTTAGGGGTAAGGTACTTGTACTTGGTAAGCTACGGATTGTGTGGCCACATGCCTCGAGTCCCATCACAGACCTACCCTACTGACAAAGGCAGATCCCTTGATGGTGAAACGCAGTGGGGAGAAAATCGGCATCTCCCTGGGGGGGAAGAGGCGGCGGAGAGGGCGCCCCTCACGGCGAGCCACCGGGGACGTCCCGCTCCCGTGCCGGGCCGGTGACTGCAGTACTCGTACATGATGCAAGGGGCGCGAAAGAATGCGTACCGGTATCTAGAAAACTTTGATACATCCATTCCCCTGGAGTCGAGATACGGTATCCCTCCTCGCAAGCAAGCTTTTCAGCCTCAATCACCCAAACCCTCCCATCCCACCTCGCCTCCTTCGAAAAAGTAAAACCTGTATCTTGAACCCCCCACACCCCACCTTTGCCACTCACAACATCTCACTCGAGAAAACAGCTTACGGTAGGAGCAGGACAGAAAGTTGCTTCGATGCCGGCATGTGCCGTGGGACATGCCGGGACGGAAGGGAAGGAAGGGAAGGAACTAAGTAAGCACGCAAGGACGAGCGCCTTTTGATCTGCTATCGTGTCACTAGTCAGGGAATGTGCCGGCATGTCTTGTAGAGCTTTATTGGGCGAGGTGAGCCGACTTGCTTTATTGCGGCAAAAGTCGCGGTGGCGAGAGGGTTGAAGATCTGCCATGTTTCGCTGTGGGCGCCATCACCGCTAGTAGAAGAACCCACGTGAACTGTTTTAAAACATTTTAAGGTGGGATACCGGTATCGGTGCTGTGCGAACGCCTCTTCATAGCGTGGCATATGAGAATTTGATTACAACTAAATAGCTAGGTTTCTAATGATTTAGTCAACTAGCAGCTGTAAGTTCAAACCCCGCTGATAGCCTTCGCGGGTGCATCCCGGAGACTATCCACGCCTGCTCGGCTATCCTTATCCTCACACGTTGTTCCACTGTTGCTCTCGACGGATCCTCTGTGACCCAGCCCGCCGCGCCCTTCCTCCGCTCCCGCGATCCGGTCCTGACTTTCTGGACCTGGTCCACCACCAATGGTCGAGAGTGGGTAAAGACTGAAATTTTGGGGCTTCTTGTTCGGGGGCCTGAGTTGGTAGGCCCCGGCGCCGCGGCTACCGTAATCGTAATCTGCCGATCTATTGGTGCCTAGCATGTATGGAAAGTAGTGGTGGAGAAGCGGGCGCAGCGCTGGGATAGAGGCGGTAGCAATGCCAATGTCGGTTTCGACGGCCCCCCAGATCAATGTTAAAGCGCCGTACCCTGGGATTGTTAACTTTTCGTAGAGTGAAAGGGAAGGAAGGAAAGGAAGGGGTACAGGTAACGTCATAGGTCCCGAACATGGTTTTGTGGAGTGTTATGGTGCGGTAAGCTCCCGCTATACAGACTCTATATCTGTTTTGTCAGTGACCTAGTTCCCATGAGCGAGATATTGGGAGCACGAACAATCCTGCAAATCCAAACAAAAAGACTAATATGATCTTCTGCCGGACAGGCAACCAGACTCTCATCAGCATCGGCGCGGGCAGAAATGCGACCCAGAAGTCTGAACTAGTGTTGATGATCGACCCTGTGAGTAGCATGACACTGTCCTTGACGCATTTTGATTTTACGGTGTTGTCCCAGTAGCCGTGAACAGGGCTATCACTGAATTAGCTTATTGCGCTAGCTCGTGGGGGTGGTTTATTTAACGGGTTAGGTGAGAAGTACCTGCAGGTAAAAATAATTGCTACCCCAACACCAACGGCATAGCCAGCAACAAAAAATAAGGATACATACACTGAGTATCGGAAACATTTGTTTGGGGCAATTCGTAGATACGAGAGCAGTATTGAAGACTTTATGAGGCCGGAGTTGACGAGGAACGTGATCTGGCAGAGCCAACTGAGCTACTATATTGTTAGTATTATGTATTTCTGTGAGCGCTTCCGCCGGATGGGGGGAAGGCTTACTAGTCGTGAATCCGAATACCACTCTGGCCTATTATCCCAGATGTGGAGTCCCCATCCATATCTCGTTGCTATAGGAGTACACCAAGAGCTCAGGTCTCTGTCTAACTATAGTGGCAGACGAGTAGAAGAGAACAAACCGTTAACAGTCAATGCAGCCAAGGCGATTGACGTGCACTGTCTCACCAATCAGAATCCCCATTTCCCTATCCCAATCTCAACTCCCCCCGTCGGTCCCAACTCCGCCGGCTAGCTAAACAAGCAATCGGAGCGGTTTTTGGACTTACAGTAGAGGCACCAATTAACCAATCATCCGGCCCGGGGGACCTGATAAGCACAAACCGGGTATACAGCCTCAATACAACAATCAGAAATGAAATGACGACCAGGACGGCAGGGACAACAATTAGCATCGGCCCACGTGTTTCTGGGTCCACGTAGTTTGGCGCAGGCCATGATAGATACACCTCTGGTGGGGGATTTCTCATTGTTTGTTGGAGAAGGTTGTTGTGGAAGCGCAGGTGGTGGTAGATATACCAGTTGTCGGAGGTGCTATCGGTGGGGGTAGGAGGATGTGGGAGGAGGGGAGAGGAGGAATAGCAATGCGATGGTTAAGGTATCATACCGAAGGTGAGTTTTTACCCATGAAGGATTCGGTTCTCGGGTTTGTAGTTGGGTTGGTTACGGGGGGTTTGGCAGTTAAAGCCATAATATATAGGGTAGGAAAGAAGAAACCCGGGTTTGGATGTTTTTTTCTTTTCTCTTGTGTTTAGGGAGTCTGAGGAGGCGACTTGCTGATATGATACCAGCACGTTGATACCTAGCTGTTTGGGAAGGAGGTTAGTCTGGGTTGGTATGACAGTATCATACATAATTATTTGGCTGCAAGCCAGGTCCGGGAGCAATGCTATTCAATCTTATCACTCCATTCATACACCCCATTTGCAGACCTGATGCAGGGACCTGCGAAAAAAGGAGAAAGGGAGAATAAAAGTAAAAAAGGCAGACCTTGCCCAGCACGCCACCATAATATATGGAAATGTTAGTTTTCCAAAGTTAAAAGTCTCCGGCCTTTCGGGGCCTAAAAAAATGAGAAGCAGATATTATAAGGTGGTGTTTAAAATTGCAACCCTAAACTTTAGAGATGCTTTTAACCTCATTTGACGGCTTTCTGTAGCGGCCCCTATCTCTTGAATTTCTTGCGACTGGGGGAGTGCCACTGAAGAGGTGAGGCCCAATATAAAAAAAAAAAGCCAGAAAATAGCATTTTTCTGGTATTCTGAATAGGGACTTGGTGAAACTCGAAAGGGAGTGTTCTGCTGTTCCGGATATAAATTTGCTGTGCCTCTCACAGAGAAGAGGAAGGTCAAGGGGAGAAGAGATGGAAGGGATTATTTTTGCGATCACTTTAAGTATTTTGCATGCATGTCTTCTATTCTGCTTCTACCAGCATCCTTGGATAATAATGCATTACCCCGTGATTGTCCCAGAAAGCCGGGGAGCGGGAATGTCCGGGAATGTCCGCCAAAACTCTTGACTTTATTAGACAGTATAGTGCTGCGCGCTGATAGCGCGATCATGCCCTTAATACACAATCTCTACCGTAATATGCAGGAAGTTGAAGAAAAAAACAAGAACAACTGCAGACTCTCGTAATACAGGAACTCCCTCAACTGATAGCTAACCCTTACTCTAATTTCTCCTAAACACTACTTTATAAAGCATTTAAGCATAACTTCCTAACTTAACACATGGTGGATTCTAGGAACTCTAACCTGCAGCTACTTGAAGAGCTCTGTGAGCTGGTCACACTGGCATGATGACTAGCGAGGTTTAGATTCCCCTGCGATTGCTACCTAATTGTAACATCTTATTTGCTCAAGAACCACCTGAGAAATATATTCTGATACTTGATTATAGTATTAAAGTCTGGTGACAAAAAACCTGAGCCAATAGCTATTTTACACCAAAAATAGTGATTTTTAGAGAGACCCACAGCTTAACACTGGCTAATAGAGATTCAAGAGCCCCTAAGAATCATGAGAATAGTATCCATTTCTATAGGGGGGCTATAAAGCCTGTGAATTGTTAACTTGTGGCACTCTATGTTATGGAGTATTAGGGTCGGAAAGTAACCTAAGACCTTGTATAGGGGTGCTACACTAAAGATACCTGACAACAAGTGTTGCCCTAGAATATCAACGGTTTCTTGATTCCACAAACCCTCTAGAGTATTCACTTTTCTTTTTTAATTTTTTTTCTTTCTCTCTGTATGTTTCCCATTTCTATTCAGCATAAAGCATAACCTCCTAGTTTGTTAGGGTTGGCAAAATAGTTTATTGAGAGGGCTCGGTTTTGGTATAAGACAGCCATCAGCTCGAGTTTTTTTGACCTAGTATCATCATACCATAGAAATACTTGAAATTTGCCATTAGGGATTTTTTTCGCATAAATCAAGCCCTAAACCACAATCGGCTTCGTAGTAGGTTGACAAAACACTAAACAACAGTTAATGAGATCCAGCAAACTCAGCCTCTATAAGCTATACTCTGTCTAGATAATAGGATTCCTGCTTGGTGCGTTTTGTCTCTGATCGGGGAGGTCCGAGGATGGCAGGAGATAGCAAGTTTCAAGAGTTTATACGGTACGTTAACTTGTTTGTACTTATACCTAGACACCACACCAGTACGCTACAGATCAGGTAAGGGTAATCATATATGTATAAGATAGTTCACTACTGACCAAAACGAACCATATCATACCGAATCTCATATCTGCTCCTTTCCGTTACAGTAAAGTATCATAAACTAACTCTACAGTGCACAGTATCTTATCTACTAGCCCCACTCTTAAAACCTGGCCTTTTTTTTTTTTTTTTTTTCCATTAACTATCGCCTCTACTAGCTGAGCTCAAGGGTCCCTGTCGGGTAAGTACAATGCAATGCCAGTACAGACTCCAAGCCCTCCCAATATAATGGCAACACAGCTATCCCCTTTCTACTTCTAACGCACGGGAGTGGCGACATTATGATGGTTTTGTCAACACTCTTACTATTCCAAAGGTACATGTCAATAATATAAGTATGATATTGTGGTATCTATCAGTAGGCCCACCACAGCGTGTTTGACCTATCTTGCCACAATTGCTTCCATCATCCCTTGATTAAGGTTGGCCATTTTTTCTTTCTTTCTTCCCTTTAGACAGTTCCTTTCCCCACTCTTTAGGTTTCCCAGTGCCGGCACTTTGCCTCCGCATTGATCGTCGGGTTGTGGCTGGGACCATCGGCGCCCTAAGGGGTCTTTTCTCGGAGGTTTCGAACAAAGCGGTTAGAACTACCGACGACCTGCCCAAAGAGAAAGTGTGGACCGTGCCTGATATCGGCGCTGTGCTCCTACAGTACAGTACAGTCGCATCCCGCTATCCCGGATGGCCAGAATCCAAAGGATCTGTCCGGAATAGCGAGGGATCCGGGACAATGGGTGAGGTTTTGGTGGAAATAAATCCAAAGCTCACAGAAATTCATATGGGACAGCGAGGTATCCTGATTATCGAGATCCGGGATAGCGGGGTGTGACTGTACAGCCCTTGGCGAATATATCGGCCACCATATCGCACTGAGACATCGCCGCGTATTCGTTTTCATTTATTTCACGGTATTCGAGTAAGATTAGTCGCTATCTGCATCTCAAAGTTCTGGAAATTCCGTACCGCCCAGAATTATGTTGAGTTGCAGGAGTTGCCACACAAAAGGGGTCTAGTGGATCTAGGGGGAATCAACACTTTCCTTTTTGGGAGGTACCGTAATGTACTCGAGTACTCGAGTAGCTGAGATTACGATAAAGTTTAGCGTGGCATGATAGGAAAAAAGTTCCTAGGGTACTGCTTTCTGATCCTCATGGTGTGATGTTTCTTGTGCCGGTGGGGGGGGGGGCAACAAACGAACATAGGGCGAGGCTTATGATACCCCCAAAAATCTGGTGGCAAACGTTCAGTGCCCCGCCACTATTACTGGCAAGATAGTAGTACCCGGGCGACAAAAAGGTTCTTTGATGCTTTACGGCATATCCAAGTTCTTATCAAAGGACCGACCCTAACCCTGCCTCGTGGTCTTAAACTTCTTCCTACGTTCCTGCGTCGCAGGGTGCTCCAGTCTTAGAGTGGTTCCTTGTCTCCCAGCCCCTCCAAACCCGGTCGCCTTGAGATCCATAACATCCTACGAAGCACCGAGCTGTTCTCAGTATCTGTCAGACTTTGGCTTGAAGAGAACCGGCGGAGTTGAACATAATTTTATTTTTTTTAAAAAAAGTGCACTACTCAAATTCTGGTGCCAAGTATGATAACTGGTCAAATCACCTAGCATAACTAGAAGCGGGACAAGCAGGATATAATTGTTACTACGATATCAAGTAACCATAAGAAGTTACTCGTGCACGGTTCTGCGATGTCCCTCTCAAGAATCTCACTCCGAGATCCCCTTATATTCCTGACGCCACGACCCTTGAGTATCCCATAGACTCCTACAACTCTCTAGTGTTTTCTACCCTAGCTCTTTTAGTGCCCCCACCGGCAACCGGAACTGAAAGTGCCAGGTTTCGGCAGCGATCACGCCCACTCAACAGCCACACAAATTAGCAGATGTCCTCCATTCCACAAGTTTTTTTTTCAGTTCTGAGCATAGGTTGGACAGTCTAGGGTGTATGTGGGGTTGTATTTGAAGCCTTACATGGCTGAATATTTCTTTAGCTGAGGTTGCTCCGAAGGTTTGGTTCAGGCTTGGAGTATTACGCCGTTGTACGAGCACAATTTGCGGGATTTAAACTTGGTAGAAATAAAGGTGATATCTGTATATATAGGTGTCTTTCGATTTTTTTTTTTGGAGGGGGGGGGGGGCTTTTTGGATTGCAGAAGGATTGTATCATAGTAGTTACCGATAGGTTTGATGGTAGGAGAATAAACTATGTGAGGGTTTCCGCGGATTGTGTAACTGCGAGCAGTCCCAAATCTTGCGGCACGTCTACCGCAGGTCCCTGTATCCCGGTTATGCTGAGCCATAGCAATTACGAACTCCGAAAACACTACTTATCACTCTACGGGTAGCTCTGATTTAGGGGAGCACACGGAATCTTGCGAGTAGCAGGGTACACAAGTGTAACTCTCCGAATACACTTGCGGTTCAGTAGTCGTACATTGCTAGAACTGTTAAGGGGTAATCGTGGGGAAGAAGAGACCACAGGTAAGCTGTTCTAAAAGCGTTGCGCCACCTTCAAGTTTGTGGGCTAGAAGAATCAGACCATCACACCTCCGGTGTGGTCTCTGCCAGACAAGGAACTCACCTTTCAATGGTTGCACTGCAAACGTGAGGTGGTTCGGGCGGGATGAACGCATGGCGGATATTTTATCATACAGAAAACAATAGAAGCTAAGATATCGAATCTAGTAAGCAGAGGGTGCATCCAACTTGCTACCCCATATTGGAACATCACACGAACACCCTCCCCCTTACCCGGACTGTTTCCAAGGTGAGCAATGCAGCATTAGATTTCATATAAAACCATTAGGTTGTGTTGTGTTTGGTAGTGGTGTTCTTTTATTCTATCGCCAGCTTTATTCCGAAGTTTTGCGGCAGTGTAGGGGTAGAATTACTACTAATTCTAGTCTCCCATTGTGTCGGCGGAGAACTGCTTTCGCGGCCTGGGCAGTTTCTTTGTTCTGGGCCCGATGTTGCACTGCGAAGATAGCTATTAGGGGGTTTTGTGTGCCATTAAGGAGGTATTAATAGACCTGGCTACTCTTGGATAACGCTGTTGTAAGTGTTGCCTCCTCTGAAGGGGTATAAAATTATGCGGTTTCTACAAAACCGGCCGGTCTGTTCGTCTCGCTCCTTCTTCAGTTCATGGAACCCGTTCCTCTTGGCCCGCTCTGGGTACATCTGTTTGTTTCGCCGTAATCCTAACCCGAATCACAAGACAGGGTCCCATCTCCACCCCCTATTAGAAGCTACTCCCGCAGGAGAATGAAGAGTGGCGGAGAGGACTTTACGCTATAATACAGGTATACGGGGGAATACAGGTCGGGGGAGAGATGAATAGAATTCGTTGTGAGTACTCAATGGGCTAAAATACCTCGAACAGAGTTGCTCAGTTTTCCCGGAAAACAAATCACATACTGAAATAAAGGCTCAGACAATTACTGATAGACCTCAAATACCACATTATATTAAACCGGGGACTCGCCCGAGAAGAGATGTGCAAGATCCGAATGCAACTGTTAACCAACCAAAAAAGTTCAATCCTTGACAAAAGAAACTCCATAGTGACCGACTTTGGTTCCCATGCCCACGCTCAACCGCAATGCAAGTAAAAGGAGAATAAATTTTCAAAAGAAGGGCCAAAGCAGGAAAGAACAGGAGAAAAGGGGCAAAAAAGACAGGGCGCCGGGATCAACAATGGCTTTCCTCAACATCCATCTCTATGGGCCACATCATCGGTTCGCCTTCGTAAGGGTCTGCATCTAGGCTCTCCTCAGGTGGGGGAGGCGGCGGAGGTGCAGCCTCAGTTTTCGGAACCCTCTTCTTGGGAACCTTGACTGTTTTGGAGACAACAGTTCTCGTAATAACCTTCTTGACAGCCTTCTTGCCGACCTTCGGTCCGGACTTGACGACTTTGAGAACGTCCCGATCCTTCTCGGCCAGCTTTTTCCCTTTTCCCTTTCCGCCCTCCTTGGCACTACCACTCGCCGATTCCTTCACACTTGCATCTTTCCCCCCGGTTGATGCTGCGTCTCGGGCCACGACGTCTTCTTTCCGAACACTCTCACCCGCTTTCATCTCGGGCTCCACCGTTTCCTCCGGAATCTCCTCCACCACACTAAGCCCACTCTGCTTGTTCACCACGCACTCCAGTGAAGCACGTAACTCTGCGACGGTAGCTTTCCGGTCTATCGGGATACCATGGGGAGTACGCTGGGCACGCCACCACGATTTTGGCTTGGAGCCGGCAGAGGGACCGGGTGTCAAGGGAATTGTAGATGCAGGGGATTCGCGCAGGGAACGGTTGTGGTGAAGGCCGGCGTCGGGGCTCGTCGGAGTTGGTGGGGCATGAGGCGGGTTAGACCCTACTTCTTTCCCGCCAATTTCGCCTCGCATTAGCAGGGAGACTGGGGCGACAAGAGGGCGAGAAGAAACTCACGATTCAAGGCGTTGTTCGCAGATGTAGCCATTTCTTCTCCTCTAACAAGGGCATGTGTAATGGGCTGTTTGTGATACGACGAAGAGACAGATATCAATAGATAAAGTGAATGAATGAATGTGGGGAAGTTAAGTCTAACCAGCCTGCTGGGAAATAACAAACTATTTGTTGGCGACGTGTGAGTGGTCGGGTGGTCGAGAGGGAAAGAAGAAATATTGTATCCAAAGCTTTTCCACGGGGGTGCTCGCTGGGGACGGGAAGCCCGGGCAAATTTTCAGAAACACGTGATCAATAGTCTTAGCGTGGGGGTTCTTTTTCTTCTTCTTTTGGGAATCTTTTTCCCCAGGCGCACGGACGGGAAGGTGCATGGAATTTTCATGGAAGTTTGGAACACGGAGAAACAGGAGAGGCCAGGAGAAGCAAGTGGTGAGGGGGGACTACGGTCCTTGCTGTATTTTGTCGGACGATTGAATCGGGGAGATGTGAGGTGTCCTTTGAGTTCGGTCTGATGCAGAAGCAATGCTTGTTTACCCCCAACCTGTCCGCGATATTTGGGTCATTTCAAAACTACCCTATCTCATCCACAACGCGGTTATACAAGCATTGCGGAATCAAGCTTCCCAGGCTGAAATCCTCTCTCTTTTCCTCCCCGTGGGACTCCGGGCGCTGTACCCCGGAATTCCCTTCCTCCCGCCCTTAGCTTACCCGACTTTCTGTGTCGTATCATACGATTTGTACCCCTACAAGTGCCCCTCCGCTTTCTGCGCCGGTTCCTGTTATCCCTTACATGTGTGCTAACAGTACGGAGTTCGGAGTCTTCGGACTACAGTACCCCACGACCTCGCTATCCCCCCATTTCGGGTCCGAGCCCGGTAATCACCAGTGCCGGTGCCCCCAGTTGGGATGCGTGAAATAATTCTCGTGGGATACTCGCCCTAGCGGCACGAGTAGAATAGATTGTTTTGGCTACTGGTTGGGCGAATTCGTGACCTCCATTCACCCGAGGATGGATCGCGTGGGAATTGATACTTGAGGGATCTATTGATATTATGCAGTGCTTGTGCGGCGGTTAGTTATGGGACAGACAGGGGTTCAAGATGACACTTTTTACTTCTGATGGTACCGGAATGAGCGTCCGGGCCCCAAACCCTACCTGTCCCATCGCTGACTTCTATACTCAAGTACAAGAGCACTGCGTGAGGGCCGTTGGAGCTTTCATCCTCCGCGCCCTCTATTCACCTCCCGATTGAAAACACTTCCTATTTGGGACGGTGAAAACTCTGCATTTTCCCCGCCGTGAACGTTACACAAAGCCTTCTCCCTACCTTGCTTAGGCTTCAAAGCCTTTGCACCCCAAACTACTCCCTCCGTGCTACCGGGTTTTTTCTCGGCACCAACGCATTTCGCGTTACGCGATGTCTGCTCCTAGCCCCGCACCAAGGGTTCCCTCTGTGGGGCCCCAGCACACCTCTTCCAGCCGTGCCAGCAACAGGGCCAACCCTACGGGCCGGGCCTCTGCTCCCCCCCTTTCTCAAGAGGACGCTATTAAGGCTCTCCTTTCCCAAGCCGCCAATGGCTTAGGCTGGAACCCAGCAGTGTTCCCGTCTGTTTTTTCTCCCGATTTTGAGGAATTTGACAGCACTGATGAAGCGGTTGTTCCCCTCTTGTCGGTCCTTGTTACTATGGTGGGACAGCTCACTGAGTCAGTTTCTTCCCTTTCCGCTAAGGTTGATGCCCTCCAGGCCCCTCAGCCTACACCCTCTTCTGACGCCACTCTTTCGGCCTCCCTCCGGGACCTCTCCTCCAAGGTCAACTCTCTTGCCTCTCGCCCCCCGCAGGCCGCAGTTCCTGCTCCCACTACCACAGCCCCCAGGCCCAATATGGCGGTCCCAAAAAGGCTGGTCTAGTCTCTCTCCTCCTCCCGCACGGTCCCCTCTCCCGACTTCCTGATTCGAGTCGACGGCAAGTGGTATGGCAACCCGGAGACCTATGCGAAAGCGCACGAAAACACTCATGAGGCGATAGTCTACTATGCCTCCTTCCCGAACACGTCTGAATCGGCTATGACCAAGGATCGATTCCCCCTCCCTGTTGACAAGCATTTCCTCCCAGGCCCCCCGCCTGGACATGCAGTCTCTGCCCCCACTCCTCCCTCCAATAACTGGGCCCAGGTGGCCAAGTCAGGAAGGAAGGTACCAAAGCGCGCCACGGCTGCCCAAGTCGCGGCGGCTAGCAAGGAGGTTGGCCCAAGGGCCCCTCCACCGCTACAGGCTACCCATCACCGCTTTTATGCCCCCCGCCTGACCCCCGCCCCTCATGAAGACCCGGTCCACATGGCCGCTGCTCTCCCCGACGCCATGGCTTCTGTTCTTCGAGAGGCTAAATGTGCTCATCCGCTGTCACTGGCGGCGACAGTAAACCAAAATGGGGCGGTCACTCTAACCGCTGACCCTCATACCCCTGCCTCCTCCTATGCTCCTTACTTCTTGGCCCTGACGACGAAGTTGAACCAATTTTTCCCCATTGGGGACAACCCTCACCTGGAATTCAGGACTGCCCCAGCCCACACCGACCTCCTCATTCACAACCTTCCTGTCTCAATGCTACCAGGCGACCCTGCAGATCTGTTTGATCGGCTTCAGGAGTCTATTGGGTATGCGGTTGGGGCTACTATTTTTAAGGCCCACTTCCTCCAGCCTGACCCCACCCTCCGCGCGACAAAGTTGACTACCTCTGTGGTGGTAGCAGTCTCGCCCTCTGATATCCCTCTCTTTGGCGACCGCATTCGCCTCTTTAACCGTCCTCGCAATGTTCACCCTGCCCACCCGGCGGCTAGGGATACCCAATGCCGTAACTGCTGCCAGTTTGGCCACTCTAAACCTCTCTGCAAACAGCCTTCTCCCACCTGTCCAATCTGTGCGCAAGCCCATGCTCGGGCGGCCCACCGTTGCGAAAGCTCCACCTGCCACGGCCAGGGTAACCTCAAGCCAGTGGTGAATTGTTGTCTTGCAACTCTAGCCTGCTGTGCCAACTGCCAAGGCCCCCACCCTGCCAATTCCTCAGATTGCCCGACTAGGGTTAGGATCCGCGAGGCGGCCCGCCCAAGCCGGGACCATGTCCTCCCAGACGCTGGTGATCCTCCATCCCCACCGCTCCTCCCAACTACTCCCTCACGCGAGGCCTGCTCTCCCTCGCCTCCAGGGACCGTTCGACGCAGTCAGTCGACCAGCCGCTTTCCTCCTGCAATGTTCCCACCGCCGTCATCCCGACAGTTCCAGCCAACAATTCCTGCTCAGCTTCCCAATGCCCCAGCCCAACCCTCCTCCTCGGCTCCGCTAGCAGCACCCATGCCCCATAGAACTCTTTTTCCTCCTCCCCCAGCCGATTGGGCAGAGGATGTTGACAACTCCCACGACCTTGCTGGTTAATGGAGGTACAACCTGCGCCCCCTTTGCAAGATGCTTCACTACACCTGTCTTTTCCATCTGCCGCTACTGCGGCTAAGTTCTCCTGTGTCCAGCATAATTGCCTCGGCAGCATTCATGTCTTTCATACTTTGTTTTCCTTTTTTACATCGGTTGAAAATTCTCCTCTTGTTGTTGCTCTTCAAGACCTTCCTCTATGGAAGGACTCCCCTCCAGCTGCTAAATCGTATGAGTGTTTTGTTCCTCCTTTTTCCCCCTTGTACAAGTCCAGGGTAGCAGTGTACGTCTCAGAACGTCTGTCGCCAGGGATTTTTGTCCTTCCGGTATTTTTTGACCAGGGGGACCGGATGGCTGTGGACTTCCACTCGCCTGATGGGGTCTTTGGGTCTGCTTATAGGTTGTTTCGCTTGTATAATTCTTATTCTGTTGCTGTTCAGGATGGCCGTATGCAGTCAATCAGTCCTGCCTTGCTGTTTCCAAGGCATAGGTTCCCCACTCTCTCTGTGGGGGACTTCAACATCCATCACCCCCTGGCTGATCCTAGCCGGGTTATTTCTTGCTCTGAACTAGCCACCTCTGTTCCTTATTTTCGGAGAGCGGCGGATTGTTCTTTTTCCCTGTTGAATACGCCTGGGGTTTATACCAGGTTTCCCTTTAATATGGCACACCGCCCCTCTGTACTTGACTTGGCATTTGCCAATAACCTTTTGTTGTCTTTCTTTGCTTCGTGGGACACCACTCTGCAGTCGACCGGGTCGGACCACATCCCCATTACTATAGTGCTGGAGCCGGTAACGGCTAAAGAGCATCGTGCCCAACCAAACTGGAGCGCCACTGATTGGAATATAGTGGCCCCCATCCTTGCTGACTTAGTGGTTTCGCCTCCCCCCTCTCTCCCGACATCGTCTTCGCTGGCCAGATGGTTTGACAACTCGCTGGAAGCCGTCACTTCTGTCCCTCTGGGGGCTACTCCCCTGAAGAGGCCATCGCTCTACTCCAAACCCTGGTGGTCACCCGACCTGTCAGAACTCCGCCTTCGCTACCACTCCTTAGCGCGCGCAGCCCGGCGCCAGATTATCCCCCAGGCCCAGGTTAAGCTGGGCAGATCCGCCTACTTCAAAGCCATTGCCAAGGCCAAGGCTGTTCACTGGAAAAAATTCCTTTCTGGAGTCGATTCTCAGTCTATATGGACAGCCAAGAGGTTCGCCTATGGGGGTGCCCCGGCACGGTTTCCCTCGCTTCCCGATGCTCACTCCCCAGTGCAAATCAACTCGGCTCTCCTGTCACACTTCTTTCCTGCACTGCCCTCAGGTCCCCGGGCCTCTTTTCTCCTCCCGCCTCTCCGTGAGGTACCAGGCATTGCGCCCTCCGAAGTGTCTGCTGTGCTCAGGCGATCGTCTTCCAACTCCGCCCCTGGTCCTGACTCTATCCCGCATGGGGTATGGAAGAGGATCCACCGTGCTAATGACTGTCTCCTCCCAACCCTGCTTAACCCCTTACTTGCACATGGGTACCACCCGCTCTCAATGAAGAGGGCCAACGGGGTGGTTCTTGATAAGCCCGGCAAACCCGACTACTCCTCACCTTCTTCCTTCCGGATAATAGTGTTGCTCGAGACGGTATCAAAGATTCTTGAG